GAGTAAGGGAAGGCTGGAGGCAGGCCACGGCTAGAAGGGACATCCCCGCCCTCGGCCCACTCGGGTTCCCAGGCCCTGCCAGGAGGAAGCCCTGAGCACTGCCAGTGGGGCAAAACACACTGTCACTGTCATTGTCACTGTCCTCCCATTGTTCATCGATTTTCTTGAGTGGACCCAGTAACGTCTCCATTGTGAGACTTTGTTGTTACTGTGTCTGGCATATCGAATACGTCACGGGGAGCTTGCCAGGCTCTGTCATGCAGGCGAGATCCTCTCGGTAGCTTGCCGGGCTCTCCGAGAGGGGCGGAGGAATCGAACTCGGGTCGGTCATGCTGGCTGCGTGCAAGGCAAACGCCCTACCGCTGTGCTATCGCTCCAGCCCCCACAAAAATTAAAAAAAAAAAAAGCAAAAGGGATTCCCAGAAGAATACGGCAGCTGGGGGGTGGCTGGGGTGAGAGAGGGGAGACCCCCTTTCCCCCCGCTGCCGGGGCAGAAACAGTCAAGCATGAGGACAAAGTGAGGGGCCCCGAGCCACAGCCGCCAGGCACCTCAGGGACGGAGAAAAGTGTGCGGGGCTGGCAGGGACGCAGGACGGCCACCTGCCCCGCCCACCTAGCACTGGGCACGGAGACCCCCACCCTGAGATGCCTTGGTGGCACCCGCACTCCGCAAGGCCAGCCCTCCGCGGACACAAACCCGCGCCCTCCCCCCTCCCCACGGCCAGCCACTCAGAGGCGGGGCCCAGGCACGGGTACCCGGGGCGTCTCTGGGCAGAGAGGGTGGCTGCACCCCGGCGAGGGCTGGGCACCAAGCACACACGTGGGGCACAGACGGCCTGCTGGCCTCCAGGGGGACGGGCAGGGGGCAAGGGCCTGGGAACAGGGCCCGAGCACTTCACTCAGAGCAGAGAGCCGGGGCCCTCCCCGGCGCCCATCAGGGCAGGGAGCCCGGGTGACACACAGGCCTGGCTGCCCCTGGCCGCGGCCCACGGCTCGGGGAACAGCAGCGCCCAGGAGCGAGGGCGCGGGGCGGGGGCGAGTGCTCGGAGCACCCCCTAGGGCAGTGCTCCCTGGCCGGCATGGCCAGCGCTACCCAGCCGGGCCTGAGCCCGAGAAGGCTGCAGGGGCGAGCGATGACCCACGGGGACCCCCACACCCGCTCCCTCCCCTAGAGCAGCCAGCCGGGGGTCCGCGGTGGGCACAGCCTCGGCGGGGGGCAGGCGACCGTAAACCGAGGATCACAACACACGGCGCTTTGTTCCCGGCGGCCGGGCGGGATCGTGGGCGCCCCAATATGAATACTAATCACTTTTTCAATCAGACGGGGGTGTGAGCTCGCTCGGAAACTGAGGAAAACAAAATCTCATCATATCCCTGATCTGATCGCGGAGCGGAGGGCGGAGGGTCCGTCCTGCTGGGAGAGGAGGCGCCGCTCTGTGGCTGCCATCAGGGACCCCGGGGCTCCCACCCCTCGCTCCTGCCCGCGCCCCACACACACAAGCCCACGAGGGCCCTGACAGCCGGCCGGGCGCCGCCCTCACCCCAAGCGCTCGCAGCCTGAACAGGCCGGGTGGCCCCCACGGGTGGCCCTGGCCGCCGGCCAGCTTCGCACAGAGCACCGAGCCGCGGGGGGCCGCCTCCCCGGACGCGCCCCTGAGCAGAGCCAAGGGCCCACAGTGGTGGATCTGATGCAGGGGGGAGGGCGACACGCCGGGCCCAGCCCCCTCCAGGGCAGCACTGCCGCAGGCCCTGTGACGCATTCGCCCTGCTGACGTCCACAGCCTGGACAGCGGGCACCGAGCTGGACCCGCCACCGCCCAAGACAGGGGACAGACACCCATGCCGCCATCACACGGGGATGGGCCCCGAGAGGCCTCGGCAGCCCCAGGGCGCCCCTTGGCTCCAGCCGGGGCAACCAGCATCCGCGGCGGCACCGCGGGGTGCGGCACCTGCCAGCCCCAGGGAGGACTCCGGCCCGAGACCGGCCGGGATGAGAGTGCTGAAACACAAACACACCCCCAGGATGAAGAAACGTAACGGGCCAAAGAGGGGGCAGGCGGGCAGGGCTCAGGGCGGGAGGTGTGGCCCCAGGAGAGACCCGGAGAAGGAGAGGCTGGGGGGAAGCTGGCGGAGACGCCCTGGGTCTGCCCAGGTGCTCCCTTTGCGGTGCCCCCGCTCCTGCAGAGCCCTGGGGAGCACCGATCTCGCCACGGCGAGTCCCGCACGCCACCCCACAGGCCCGGGCTGTGATTAAGTGCATAAGTTAAGTGTCGATGTAGACAGATACACAATCTTAACAACGATTTTAAGTAAAGATCATTTTCAGCATCCCACAGTCGCTGGAGATGGCGGACAGGAGGCCCACAGCGGCCTGGGGCGAGGGTGGAGTGGGCGGGCACGAGGACCCTGCCACCCGCTGCCTGGGCAGCAAAGGCCCCCAAAGGCTCCAAAGCATGCCCAGCCCAGCCCTCCCAGGGAACGGCCAGCACACGCGGGACCCGGCACACAGCCGCCGCCCCCTAGTGGTGCCTCCCAGCACTGCAGCCCAGGGGCCCGTGGCCCCCTCCCCACCAGCCCGGCCCCCCCGCCTGCCGCCTGGTCTGGCCACTCCACCAGCGTCCAGGCCTGACGCAGGCCCCACTCCACCCGGGCTCTGCCCCTCTGTCCTGGGGCTGCGGCTGATGGCTGCCCATGCGTCTGCGAGACCCCCGAGTTCATGGTCAGGTGACCACTCCCGGCCCTTGGGACGTGACTCATTCCCTAGGGAGCCTGCAGGGACAGGTCACTGTGGCGCCTCCTGACCCCCAGGCAGCCTGAAGGCGGCCAGGCCGGCAGCCCACAACAGCTGGGCAGCAGGACGCAGGTCTGGCCACCAGAGGGCAGCAGCGGGAGCAGCTGAGGACACGGTTTGGGGGGAGGAGGAGGCTGGGCCCAGTGTCCACACCAGAATCAGGAGGGCTGCAGGCCGCGGGGGCATCGCAGAGGCCAGGGGGCGCGGGGTCCGGCTGTGGGTGGTGCGCTCAGCACCCAAGCCCAAGCCCCCCCAGCCAGCTGGGCCCCCCCGCCGGCCAGCCCCACGACCTGCCGCCACGGCATGTGAGCGCGTGAGCCCCCCGGGAAAAGGCCCCGTGGCCCCAGGTCCGTCCGGGGCTTCAGAACCAGCACCGGGCCGAGCACAGCGCTGGTGTGGCCGTCCTGGCCGAGCTCCGGCATCTGGCTAAGTGCCAAAGAGACCCACAGCTGCGAGGCCCCGAGGTGCCGGGCCCCCAGCCCACCGCAAGCTCATCGCTCAGCACGGCGGAGGCCCTGCAGGGGTCACGGCTGTGCCCGACCGTCCCCCGGCTGCGGCCTGGCCCGGCACCAGGGTCCCCGTGGCGGGGGCAGGCAAAGGGCAACCTGAAGCGGGTCCGAGCGCGCCGGGGGCCGACACACCCCCAAAGGCGGAGCTCAAGCCACACACGCCCACCTGCCCCTCGGGGACGCTGGGGCCTGAGCCACGGGGGCTGGGCAGGAAGTGAGGTGGCACCTCCCGTCCACCCCAGTGGACCCAGCGACGGCCAAGCCCAGCCCCAGCCCCTCAACCCCTGTCCACGCGCCACTCACGGAGGGTCCCCACAGAGGCCCCCAGCCGCGGGCTCCGGAGGGAGCCATGACGGACATCCCGCGTGGGGGGCCAGCGCGGGCCAAGTCCGGGCGAGGTGTGTCCAGGAAGTGGCCCGTCCCCTGGGCTCCGGGCAAGGACACACGGGCGGGCAAGGCCCCAGATGCGGGCGGGGGGGGGGGGGTGGCCGGGCGGGCAGTGCCGCCCTGTCGCGGAGCTCGGGGCTGGCCGTGGACAGGGCCCGGCTCCCGGCAAGCAGAGGACAATCCGCCGGGCCTCTCCTTCCCGGGCTCCGGCCTCGGCGACCTGCCTGCGACGGACGTGCAGGAAAACACAGCTGGGAAGCAAACCCGACCGGAGCCGCGCCCGGGGGCCACCGCGACCAGGACCTCGGGCTGACCGGCCACCTGCAGGCTGCTCGGCCCAGCCACGCGCCACACACGCCACCTGCTGGTCACGCGGGGCACTGCCCCGGCCAGAGGAACGGACGCAGGGACACCGTCCTGGGCACACGCTGGGTACGCGGGAGGGTCGCGGGAGTGCAGGGGGCACCGCGGGCGGGCGGGGGAAGTGCTGCAGCACTGAGCACTGGGAGAGCGTCGCGGGAGTCCTGGGGAGTGCTGGGGGAGCGCTGAGGAGCACTACGGAGTGCCGCAGTGCTCGGGGAGGACTGTGGGAGGACTGGAGGCTGAGAAAGTGTCGTGGGACCATGGCGTGACGCAGGCGCGCTTCAGGAGCACCGCAGGACTAGGAGAGCGCGGAGAGAGCACCGTGGGAGCACTGCAGGAGTGTCATGAGGGTGCTGGGGAGTACTGGGGGAGCACCACAGCGGTGCGTGGGGGTACTTGGGAGGACTGGGCACTACAGGAGCACCATGGGGGCACTGAGGAGTACTGAGAGAGTACTGCAGGGGTACCATGGGGTACCAAGGAGTACTGAGCACTGCAGGGGTACCACGGGGGTGCTGCAGAGTACCGAGAGTACTGCAGGGGAACCATGGGGTACCGAGGAGTACTGAGTACTATGGGGGTACTGGGGAGTACTGGGCACTACAGGAGTACCACGGGGGTACTGAGGAGTACCGAGAGAGTACTGCAGGGGTACCACGGGGTACTGGGGAGTATTGAGCACACTGCAGAGGTACCATGGGCGTGCTGGGGAATACTGAGAGAGTATTGTAGGGGTACCACGGGGTACCGAGGAGTACTAAGTACTGAAGAGGTGCCATGGGGGTGCTGGGGAGTACCGAGAGAGTACTGCAGGGACACCATGGGGTACTGGGGAGTACTGAGTATACTGCAGAGGTACCGTGAGAATCTGCAGTACCGGGGAGCACTGCGGGAGAACTGGGGCGCCGCCCTCCGCCCAGCCCGGCTGCCCGCCGCCCGCGGGGACTCACCCAGGTCCGTGTTGGGGCCGGCGAGGAGCTGCCGGAACTTGTGGAGCCGCGAGGCCTCCCTCTCGCTGAGCGTCGCGCTGCCGGGCGCCTCGGCCGCGGGGCCCGGGACGGAGTCGGCGTGCGGGAGCGACTGGGACCTTTGCAGGGGCGCGGGGGCGCCGGCGCTCTCTGCGGGGACAGGCGGGGTCAGCACCGGCTCCCTGTGGCCCCTCCGAGCCCGCCCCGGGCCCGAGCGGGAGGAAACGTGCTGCGGCCTCTGTGTGTCCACCCCCCCGAACGCCCCGTCCACGCGCCCGTCCCCGCGCCCCACCCCCCAGCACGAGGCCACCCACGGCATCATCAGAGGCCCCTGGTGGACAGCAGTGGGGCAAACGGCCAGCATGGCTGCAGGAGCGCGGGGTGAAAGCATCCCCTCAAGACCCCAGCCCCATGTGCCAGTGAGGACCCCGGAGGACCAAGTCCTGGGAGGGACCAGCCCCTCGAGGGGTGGGGGGATGCAGCCCCTTGGGCTGGCCACACCCCTGTCCACGGAGCCTCTGCACAGGCCAGCCAGCGAGGGCCAGGGCAGGGGCCGAGTGGACACTGCCCAGGACAGGGGCCGAGTGGACACTGCCCAGGACAGGGGCCGAGTGGACACTGCCCAGGACAGGGGCCGAGTGGACACTGCCCAGGACAGGGGCCGAGTGGACCCTGCCCAGGGAACAGAGCCCACGACCACCGAGATGGCCCCAGGGTGGGCACGGACGCCTGCAGGCCTGGCCTCGCACTCAGGGGGCGGCTCAGCCCTCGCACTCACGGGGGGGGGGCTGCGGCCAGCCCGAGTTCAGGTGGGGACAAGGGGGTCTGGGCAGGGACAGGTGGTACAGCCTCAGGGCGCGGGGCCGGGATGGGGGTCCCAATCCCCTCTTCCCCAGGGCCGGGAGGGGGTCCCGCCTTCCCCCGCCGCCCCCGGCCAGGCCCACCTGCAGGACAGGACGCGTGGCTCTCGCTGACCGACTTCACCAGCCGCAGGTCCCCGCTGGGCGGCGGCGGCGTGGCCGGGGGCTCGGGGCCCCCCTGCTGCCGCTGCCCCTGCCGCTGGCTGTGGTCGCGCAGGACGCGGTGCGCCGTCTCCATGACCACGTCCGTGTGCAGCTGCTCGGCCGCCATGGCCAGCAGCCCGTCATCGTCCTCGCCCGCGTCCCAGGCGTCGCTCGTGTCGCTCTCGAACTCCTGGAAGGTGCTGACCCGCCGGGGCCTCGCGGGGGGGCTGGGAGTGGCCTGGGGCAGGCTGCGGGGGGCAGAGGCCACGTTACGGGGCTCGGGGCCGGGACGGAGGGACGGGACAGCCCGACTCCCACTCACGCGTCAGCCGCCACGTCCCCGAGGACCCCGGGCGCAGCCGGGCGGACTCATCAGGAGACCCTCAGGGACCCCCTCGGCCTGCCCCGCGGGCGCCCACCCCTCCGGGCGTCACTTACGTGCCATGGGACAGCGGGTCAAAGGGGGGGTGCTGGGCGCCATACACGTGTCTGATGCTGTGGGGGGGGGGAGGGGGGACACACATCAGCTTCCCCTGGCCCACACCCGCGACAGCAGCACCCCACCCCTGCCGGGGCCACACGCGGCCACTCACTCGCCCAGTGTTCACGCCGGGCTGGGCGACTCCCGGGGCAGGCGGGCAGCCCACAGTGAGGCCAGGGAGGGCGGAGAGCGGGTGGCGGCCACCAAGTGCCCCAGGGCTGGGGTCCTCCCCACCCCCTGTGCCTGTGCCCGGCCAGGCTGGCCCCGCGCCTCTGCCCAGGAGGGGGGACCCCAGCAGGCGAGAGGGGGGCAGCTGCCGGGAGGGCGGGGCCTGCAGGGGTGGGAGCTCCCACCAGCACCCAACCTGCCCTCGGTCCGAGTGGCCCCCCAAGACGGCCAGGGGGGCCTGGGGCCGGCGCGTCGGGTCTGGTCGGGAGCTGCTGATTTTGGGGCACAAAGTGAGCCCTGGGCCCCGCCAGGTGTGGCCCCAAAGCCCCGCGGACAGGTCAGGGACACTCCCACGCAGGAACCCCGGGGGGGGATGCACGGGCTGAGGCACTGGCAGGGGACGCGAGACTGAGGTGCCGGCTGCCGCCTCCGGTACGCCTCCAGCAGCCACGGAATGTCCCGTCTCTGCTGAGCGTCCGCGCCTGGCCGGGTGTTGTGTGCGAGACGCCCGGGCTCTCACGGCATCTCCCGCCCCGAGGCAGCACCCCCTTCCCGGGCAAGACGCCCCCGGGACCCCCCAGGGCCGGGCCGGTCTCCCCGCGACCTCGCTCCTCTTCGCTCTTGCTGGATTGGACGTTAGTGTGATTTAGCCACTTGGGGTAGACTTTAAAGCGTATTCGCACAAAATCACTCGCAACGATTTTTTTTTTTTACCTACACGGCTGGAAAAAAGAAAGACAACGATACTGCGGAAACTTATCAATGTGTCACTGATCTGGGATTCTGCAGGTTTCGGGGGATCACCTAGACGCGTCCTACTCTGCCTCCTCCACGGGAATTTGCTTTTAAAAAAAACAAACTGCTCTCTTCTCGGAAGGAGTAACAACAACAAGAATCACAACACACCCGACCGTGTGTCTGGGGCGGCTGGCCTGGCGGCCGAGTGCTCTGGGGCGGCCCGAGTGACAGCGGGCAGCGGGCGCGTCCCTCCACCCGGCTCGCTGGGCCCGACTCCGACTCCCCACACGGTCCCTGAGCCACCGGGGGACCCCGCGGCGCTGAGCCAGGACTCAGGCCGAGCACCGCCGGGTGTGACCCCCAAAACAACCGCACGATTAAGGCTGTGTAAAGCCCTGTACCTCGCTCAAGACTGAAACCATAAATGCTTCACGGGTCACGCCAGCAGCCCGTTCCGGACAGGCAGCGAGGCCACGTGAGGAACGGGGCACGCCAGCAGGACACGCAGGGCGGCCACACGCCGGCGGGCAGAAGGGAGCGGCCACGCTCAGGCGGCCTGAGCGGCAAACGGTGCCCTCCGGGCGCCCATCTCCACCGCCGGGGAGACCACGACACCTGCGACCACACGGACACACCCGAGATCACACACCTGCGGTCACAAACGCCCGTGGCCACACACCGGCGGCCACGCACGTCCGCAAACACACACACACACACCTGCGAGCACGACCGTGCCCACGCGACCCCCGCGGCTCTCTCCAGAGGCGCCGCCCCCCCCACCCCCCCACCCCCCGCCCGGGCCCGCCTTATCGCCCGCTGCAGGCGCTCGGCTCCCTCTGGAAACTCATTAATTCTTTATGCGCAAACCACTGGCGCTTATTGAGCAGAAAATGTTCCGGCGAAGTTCAAGCGCAGACTGAGGGGGGCCTCGTTTCATCTTATTAAAATTGCATTTTTATTTGGTCTCGCGTAGCCAGAAAGAAAACAAGCTCCAACGGCAGCCCGTGTCAGCGAGGACGCGGCCCCAATCCCGCTCACCGCGGATAATGAAGTCGCCCTTAAAGAAACATTAGCCGATAAATCGCTAATAAATGAGACGGCCCGGAGCTCCGCGGCCACTCGCTGCGCCGGGGACAACGCCGAGGAAAAGCAGATGCACGCGACGTGACCCTCCCCACGTGTGACATCCACCACGCACCGACACGATGTGGCAGAGCCCACATCGTACACGTGGCATGACCCATATCACACACACAATGTAGCCCACATCACTCATGTGGCTTAACCCACATCATACACACGCTGTAACGCATGTCATACACGTGATATGACACATGTCATACGCGTGATACAACCCACGTTATATACGTGACAAAACTGACACCATACATGTGACATGACCCACGTCATACACATGACATAACCCACATCGTACACATGACAGATCCGCATCATACACATGATATAACCCACATTATAAACATGACATAACCTTTCACACACATGACATGCCCACGTCGTACACGTGACATGACCCACATCATATACAGAACCCACACCACACACGTTAGAACCCACATCATACACATAACTCACATCACACATGCTACATGACCCACACCAGACATGTGACGTAAACCACATCGTTCACATGACAACCCACAGCATACAGCTAACCCACGTCCTATGTGAGACCTGACTCACATTCGATACGTGACGTCGCAAACATCACACACGTGAACATGACCCACATCATACACGTGACCACCCAGACCATCCACACGACCCACATCACACACGAGACCTAACCCACTTCATACGCCGGCTGTCACCCACACCATGTTCGTGACGTGACCCGCGTCATCCACGCGGCAGAACCCGCTTCATGCGTGTGACAGCCCACTTGACACCCGTGGCCACCGTCCGCTCCCTACGCAGGCAAATTCCACCTGCAGGCAGGCCCTGGGGAGCCCAGGCACGGGCATTGTGGAGCAAGGCCAACGACACTGGCACGCGAGACAAGCGCAGAAGCCCAGACGTGCAGGACGGGCTGAGCGACCCTGGAACGCTGCCCCCAGGACGGCCAAGCCCCCTCCGGCCAGCGCACCAGGGGCGCTGCAGGTGGCCTGGCCTGCAGGGCGGCGCTCTCGGACGCACCAGGGAGGACCGGCGCTGCAGGCGGCCTGCAGGGCGGCGCTCTAGGAGGCGCAGAGCAGGCGCTGCAGCCTACAGGCGGCGCTCTAGGAAGCGCGGGGAGCAGGGGAGCCCCTGGAGGCCTGCAGGCGGCGCTCTAGGAAGCAAGGGGAGGAGGGGAGATGCAGGGCGGCGCTCTAGGAAGCGCGGGGAGCAGGGGAGCCGCTGGAGGCCTAAAGGCGGCGCTCTAGGAAGCAAGGGGAGCAGGGGAGCCGCAGCGGCTGACACCCGGAAGCCCGAGCGAGCCCAGCGGGGGCAGCGGGGGTCCCAGGGGGCGCGGACCCTCAGTGGCCGAGCGCCCTGCAGCTGTTCGGAGCAGCCAACAGAGAGGGGCGGGGGCGGGGGCCCCCGGGGGTCGCGGAGACTGGGGCTGGGGGGACCAAAGGGGCGTCTGGGGGGGTCTCAGGCAGCGGGGGGGAGGGGAGGCCGGGGGCAGGGTCAGGGGGTCACGGGGCAGCGCCCCCCGCCCCCCTGCGGACACAGCCCGGAGCCCAGGACGTGGGACCACCCGGCCCGGCACCGACCCGGTCCCCGGGGCCCTTGGGTGCCACCGCGCGGGGAGCCGGGAGCGAGCCGAAACCCCCGGGACGGGCCGAGACCCCCAAAGTGAAAACGCGGTGGGCGCCTCCGAGTCCTGCCAGGAACCCCCCGGGGAGGCCGGAAGCACCCGGGAGGGGACACGGGTCAGCCGAGCACAGACCCCCCAGCAGACCCCCCAGCAGATCCCCAGCAAAGACCCCCCAGCACAGCACAGACCCCAGCACAGACCCCTCCCAGCACAGCAGACCCCCAACAAAGACCCCCCAGCACAGACCCCTCCCAGCACAGCAGACCCCCAGCAAAGACCCCCCAGCACAGACCCCTCCCAGCACAGCAGACCCCCAACAAAGACCCCCCACACACAGACCCCACGGCCCCCCACTCCGACCACCGGGGTCCCACCCCCCCCAGAGGCGCAACCTGGGGGTCTGGCAGAGGGGGCGGGGCCGCAGAACCCCGACCCGGATGGCGAGGCCGGGGGTCCCCCAGGCCCGGCCCCACCTCCCCCTGCCGCCCACCCGCCCCGCCGCTCGGCCCCCCGCGGCCAGCGCCCGGTGAGACCCTCTGGGCGCGGGCCGGCCCTCACGGCCCCTGCGTCCCGCCCCCACTGCCCGGGAGCCCCCCGGGCCGTCACCCCCCGGGGTCACCTCCTGCCACCTGTGCCCCCACCCCACGCCCCGCCTTTCCCCCCGCCCGCCGGCAGCTTGTCTGTCCACTGCGCCCGCAGGCCGGGGCCTGTCCCCCACCTCTGGCCGGCTGCGTCCCCACTCTGGGCCCCTGGCCGGGCCCTGGGCCACCAGGGGCACCACCAGGGGCTGAGCAGACCCCGGGGCACGGCCGCCACATCAGAGCCCAGGGCCCCCAGACCCCATCAGGGCCCTGAGACCCCAGGCCCGGTCAGGGCCCCCAGACCCCATCACGGTCCCCAGGCCCCATCAGGGCCCCAGCCCCCGGCCCGTGAGGGTCCCCAGACCCCATCCCGTCAGGGCCCTGAGACCCCGGCCCTCATTAGGGGCCTGAGACCCCATTAGGGCCCTGAGACCCCATGAAAGTCCCCAGACGCCATCAGAGCCCCCAGACCCCATCCGGGTCCTGAGACCCCAGCCCTCATTAGGGGCCTGAGACCCCATCAGGGCCCTGAGACCCCATGAAAGTCCCCAGACCCCATCAGGGCCCCCAGACCCCATCAGGGCCCTGAGACCCCAGACCCCGCCAGGGCCTCCAGACCCCATAAGGGCCCCCAGACCCCATCAGGGCCCTGAGACCCCAGACCTCTCCAGGGCCTCCAGACCCCATCAGGGTCCCCAGACCCCATCAGGGCCCCCAGACCCCATCAGGGCCCTGAGACCCCAGACCCCGCCAGGGCCTCCCGACCGCATCAGGGCCCCCAGACCCCATCAGGGCCCTGAGACCCCAGACCTCTCCAGGGCCTCCAGACCTCATCAGGGTCTCCAGACCCCATCAGGGCCCCCAGACCCCATCAGGGCCCTGAGACCCCAGACCCCGCCAGGGCCTCCAGACCCCGCCAGGGCCTCCAGACCCCATCAGGGTCCCCAGACCCCATCAAGGCCCTGAGACCCCAGACCCCGTCAGGGCCTCGAGACCCGGCCGCCCTGGGGTCCCCAGGCCCCAGCCCCTGACCCTCCCCGGTCGCGGCCCCCACACCCAGGAAGGAGAACTCTCCCGCGACAGCTGGACGCGGGGGGACGGGGGTCTGCAGCAAGGCTGGCCAAGGGGCTCAAGCGGGGCCGGTGGGCGCGTGCCCGGTCACGGGGCTCCCGAGAAGGGCCGCCCCCTGCGGTGTGGCACGACGCGGGGCAGACAGCAGGCTGTGGGGCGCAGAGACCCCCGGGGCCCCAGGGGCCGGGGCTGCCGGACAGACTCTGCCCGGTGCAGCGTCACCTTGGAAGGCCCCGCCGGGGTCCGAGAGGCCCGAGTGCCGGGGCGCTCCCAGCTCGGGGGGCCGCACTGGCCCGCCGCGGACCCCACAGACGCCCCCGGCCCGGGACTCGGAGCCCCGGTGAGCCGGGCCACGCCCCCCTCCCCGCGCGCGCGCCCCTCAGCGGGTCCCGGGGACGCGGGGCTCGGGCGCGGTCGGTGCTCGGTGCTCGGTGCTCGGTGCTCAGTCCCCCGCACTCAGGACTCTGCACCCTCGCGGCCTCTGACCGGCCCGCGCGGGAGGACTTTGGAGCCCGCGGACCCGGGTCACCGCGGCGCCCGGGACGACCTGCTCCGTGGGCGGCCCCGGGGCCCTGCCCGGCGCCCCCTGCCCAGACCCTGGGGCCGGCCGCGCCCCCTGCCCCGCGCCCCGAGCCCCCTGCCCAGTCCCCGCGACCCCTGACCCGGGCCCCCGCCCGGCTCCCCGCGCCCCTGCCCAGCCCCCCAGGTCCCTGCCCGGCGCCCCTGCACAGCCCCCCGGGACCCTGCCCAGGCTCCAGGCCCGATCGCGCCCCCTGCCCAGACCCCGGGGCCGACCGCGCCCCCTGCCCGGCTCCCCGCGCCCCTGCCCAGCCTTCCCGGGTCCTTGCCCAGTCCCCCGCGACCCCTGCCCAGGCCCCAAGCCAGACCGCGCCCCCGGCCCAGCTCCCCGGGCCCCTGCCCGGCCCCCCGGATCCCCGGCCCAGTCCCCCGCGCCTCCTGCCCCGCGCCCCGAGCCCCCTGCCCAGTCCCCGCGACCCCTGACCCGGGCCCCCGCCCGGCTCCCCGCGCCCCTGCCCGGGCCCCCCAGGTCCTCGCCCAGACCCCCGGGCCCCCGGCCCAGTCCCCCGCGCCCCCTGCCCAGCTCCCCGGGCCCCTGCCCGGCCCCCCGGATCCCCGGCCCAGTCCCCCGCGCCTCCTGCCCCGCGCCCCGAGCCCCCTGCCCAGTCCCCGCGACCCCTGACCCGGGCCCCCGCCCGGCTCCCCGCGCCCCTGCCCGGGCCCCCCAGGTCCTCGCCCAGACCCCCGGGCCCCCGGCCCAGTCCCCCGCGCCCCCTGCCCAGCTCCCCGGGCCCCTGCCCGGCCCCCCGGATCCCCGGCCCAGTCCCCCGCGCCCCCCGCCCGGCCCCCCGCGCCCGGCACACCCACCTGCCCGGGACCTTGCTGCTGCTGCGCTTCCAGAACTGCCTCCTGGCGCCGTCGCTGGCCATGGCGCCTCGGCATCCCTCGGGCGCGCGGCCCCACAGCCCCGAGGCCGCTGTCGCGAGTCCCCGCGGCCCCGCAGCCCCCCGGCGCGCCCGGACCCCGCGCCCACCGCGCTTCCGCCTCGCTCCGGAAGTTGTGGCTCGCGAGAGCGGAAGTCCCGCCCCCGGCGCGGCGCCCGCGGCGTCACGGGAGCGCGACGCGACGCGTGACGTCACTGCAGGGCGACGCCCCGCCCCGCCCCGCCCCGCGTCGACGCGGCCAGCGCGTCCGCGCGGCGTGTCCGGCCCGGCGGGGTCCGCGCGTCCCTCCCCGGCGGCCCCGCAGGGCCCCGCAGGCCGGGGCGGAGACCTGGGGGCCCCCCGGCTCGCCCAACGCGGGCGAGGCGGCGCCTGGCCGGGCCGGGGTCCCCCTGGCCGCGGGGTCGCGAGCCTCCAGCCGAGAAGTGGGGGGCAGAGACCGGGCGGGGCAGCCGGGGGCGAGCGCGCGGCGGGAGGGACCCCCGCAGCCCACCCACACCCCACCCGGGAGGCAGCGATGCAGCCCACCGAGACCCTCCAGGAAGGGGGCCCATGCAGCCCACCCAAACTCCACCAGGAAGGCAGCGATGCAGCCCACCGAGCTCCCCAAGCCCCTCCAAAAGGGGCCCATGCAGCCCACCCACACCCCACCCGGAAGGCAGCGATGCAGCCCACTGAGCCCCTCCTGTAAGGGGCCCACGCAGCCCACCCAAGCCCCTCCAGAAGGGGGTCCACGCAGCACACCCAAACCCCACTCGGAAGGCAGCAATGCAGCCCACCGAGCCCCTCCAGGAACTTAGCTAACAACAGCCCACCCGAACCCCACCCGGGAGGCAGCGATGCAGCCCACCGAGCCCCTCCAGGAAGGGGGCCCACGCAGTCCCCCCCAAGCCCCTCCAGAAGGGGGCCCATGCAGCCCACCGAGCTCCCCCCAAGCCCCTCCAAAAGGGTCCCCATGTAGCCCACCCAAACCACCAGGAAGGCAGCAATGCAGCCCACTGAGTCCCCCCAAGCCCCTCCAAAAGGGGGTCCACGCAGCCCACCCAAACCCCACCAGGAAGGCAGCAGTGCAGCCCACCGAGCCCCTCCAGGAACTTAGCTAACAACAGCCCACCCGAACCCCACCCAGAAGTTCGCCAAGGCAGCCCCCACTCGAGCCCCACCAGGAAGGCAGCCAGCGCAAGCCCACCCCCCCACCCCCCATCCCCTGAGCGCAGAGCCAGAATCACGCCCCCAGCACCACTGTGTGGCAAAAATAAGTAAACTCCACTTGGGATCACGGAGACTCAAAGCCAAGGACACTCCGCGTTCTCCTTTTTAACGGTTTTTAGGAATATTTCACGCAGGTGCTGGCTGGCCTCGCCACAGTGGCGTGGAGCGTCCTCCGGGGGGCGCCGGCCTGGACGGAGCCGCAGAATCTGGATTTTTACCAGAACCTGGGGAGAGGACCGGCCTGACCCGGGGTGCACCCTGGGGAGTCCCTCCGACCCAGCTGGGCAGCAGCGCAGGCCAGAGGAGTGGGGCAGGGTGCCAGCCCACCCCAGGGAATTGCTGGGGGGGGGGGGGGGTCCCAGGGGACAATCGGGCTTGCCGCAGTGACACCTTTAGCTCACTGCAATCCACCTGCACACTCCGGGCTGGACCCTCGCAGCCCTACAGAGAGGCCGGCCAGTGCCAGACTGACTTGGGTCCCCAGGTCACAGCTCAGGGGTCGGCAGGGCCACCCCTGCTGGGAATACAAGGGCTGGGACCCCCCGCTCAGGCCCCCAAAGCAGAACAGAGCCGGCGTTGGGGCCGTCCTGTCCCAGGGGAGCTGACCAGTGCCTGGAACCCCTGGCCCTTCCCAGAATCTTCTGGAACTCTCTCCAGAGGCCCAGGTGCTGATGAAGGCGTGGGGTCCTGCCCCAGCCAGGCCACTGGGTCAGGGACTGGTCAGAAGCACCTTGACCGCCCCGTGCGGGTCGGAATGACAGAGGAAGGAGAGCAGCCAAGCGGTCCCGTCCCCGAGCCTCCTCTTCCCGCCACGGGGTCCGGGCACGGGGGCAGTGGGAGGACGGGAGGGGTGCAGGACCGCTGCAGCCTGGGCCCCTCTTCCTCCAGGGAACTCCCAGCCCGCGTCCCCGCCCGCCAGATCCAGCTGACACGCGCCCGCCCTGGCCAGCGTGTCACACTTCCTCGTCTGCCTGCTGCGGCCACTGACCCCAGACGCTCCTCCTGGGCTGCCGCCTCAGCCACACCCGAGTGTCCCGCCGCCTGGGCAGGCCTGAGTCACCCCTGGCCACACGTGGCGGTGGGGGGGGAGGGCTTGGAGCCCCGGGAGGAGGTAGGAAGAGCAACCAGCTCCCGGGCCCTGGCCCTGGTCACGGCCGTCTCAGACTGGGGCCGGGGACGCCCGCAGCCGTGACAGGACCCTGCCCTCTCCGGGGTGGCCCGCCCGCCCTGCCAGCCCGCACACACGCCGCTTCCCCCGGCGGCCACTCCTGAGACCTGCCCGCTGAACATGGGCCAGGAGGCCAGGCCGGCAGCTGCAGCCGCCCCAGGCAGCCCTGCTCACCCGCAGCCGCCGGGCACCAGCGTCACGGGGCCTGGCGCAGACACCGGGTGGCAGCCTGGCACGGGAGCCGTGCCAGCTGCTCCCCAAGGGAGCCGTGGGCACACGGGCATGCGGCAGGCACGAGGACGGCAAGGGCTGGGTGGCACAGCGGGTCAGCGCCAGCTCAGACGTGCCAGGCCGGACCCCTGAGCCCACGGGACAGAGATGCGGATGTGCCCTTGCCACAGCATGGGGGGGGCACCAGAGGGGGTGTCTGCCTGTGTCCGGTGCAAGGACACCGTCGTGCTTGGACGAAGGGAATAACCTGCCCCAGAGGACACTGGCCACAGGCGTGAGGGGACCCGAGGGGAGGAGGGGCTGGCATTGTCCGGAAGAAGGAGCTTACATGTTCTCGCCACAGAAATGCTGGGGTGGGGGTGGGGGGCGGGGAGGAGCCCTGAGAAGCAGCCCACCTGCCCTCTGCAGCTGCCTGTTTTCTGGTGGCAGAGGGAACGGGTGAGGGAGGGAGGGAAAGGGGTGAAGAAGGGAGGGGAAGGGGTGAGGAAGGGAGAGGAGGAGGCGAGGAAGGGAGAGGAGGAGGCGAGGAAGAGAGGGGATGGGGAGGGGGAGAGGAGGGAGGAGGCGGGCAGCACAGGCAGGGGTTTGGAGCGAAGGGGCTCGGAGCCCAGGGCCTGGCCGTGGCTGCAGGGCGTGAGCGGGAAGGAGGGGCAGCGGGCAGGTGCCTGGGGGCCCGCGAACGTGGCCACGTGGCCACGGTGGCAGGGCTGGTCGCCTCAGCGGGGCCCCGTCCCTCCTCTCGCCAGGGGCAACCTGGGGACCGGAGAGGCCAGCAGTTGGGGCGGGCCGGGGCCGAGGGGCAGCGACGGGGCCCTGGGCTGTCGCTGGGGCCTGGCAGGGTCCCAGGGCAGGAGCAGGGGGTGTCGGGGTGGTGTTGCCTGTCCCCAGGGAGGCATGTGCCCAGCCCTGATGGCCCCCCGCACCCCCCCCGCCCAGGCACACTGGCACCCGCGCCCGGACCCGCAGCGAAGCCCCTGTGACCACAGGGCAGGGGGCAGCAAGGGAGAGCTCACCCTTCCAGGCCTGGCCCCTCCCACCTCCACAGCCGCCAGCACTGCCCCGCGTGGGCCGGGCTCCTTCGGGTGCCCGGGCGGGCTGGGGTGGGGACACAGCCTGTAATTTTCCGTGCCCGTGACTGCTGCGGCCTCCCCCGACGGGCCCCTGGGCCTGCCGGAGTGCCGGGGCCGCTCTATTTCTGCTCCCCTAAACGAGGTCAGCCTTCTCCGCGCAGCCCAGGGCCCTCCCCCCACCCCTGCACACCTGGCGTGGCCGTCAGACCCAGATCTGGAACCTCGGGTGACACCCGTCAAAACCAGCTTCCAGGGGCTGGAGCGACAGCACAGCGGGGAGGGCGTTTGCCTTGCACACGGCCGACCCGGGTCCGATTCCCAGCATCCCATAGGGTCCCCCGAGCACCGCCAGGGGTGATTCCTGAGTGCATGAGCCGGGAGGAACCCCTGAGCATCACCGGGTGTGACCCCGTCACTGTGCTCCCGTTGTTCATCGATTTGCTCGAGCAGGCCCAATAACATTATGAGACGTTGTTACTGTGTCTGGCATCTCGAATTCGTCACGGGGAGCTTGCCAGGCTCTTGCCGTGCGGGCGAGATACTCTCGGTGGTTTGCCGGGCTCTCCGAGAGGGGCGGAGGAATCGAACCCGGCTCGGCCATGTTGGCTGCACGTAAGGCAAATGCCCTACCCGCTGTGCTATCGCTCCAGCCTGAGTGTGACCCAAAAAGAAAAAACAGCTTCCTGCACCCGGGCACCCAGGGCCCAAGCCAGGCAGCGGCCGAAGGAAAAGTCAGTCCCCAGGGCCAGCCTAGAGGAGGAATGAATGGCCCTGGGAGCCGCTCTTGCCACGACCAAGCCCGGGACCCGGGAAACAGGACGGGCAGTTGCTGAGACCCAACGCTCCACGCCCACACGCCCACCAGCCGATGCCCGGGCCCCCACCTAGCAGACCCAGACGGGGGGCGCTCCCGGGTCCCTCTGTAGCCGGCCCAGCACCCGGAGAGACAGTCCCGCGGGCGCAGGGAGCGGAGGGGGCGGCAGGAAGGAGGCGCTGCCTGAACCCCCCCCCCCCGGGCCGTGCGTGGGCCCAGTGACTTGCCCCCGTTTAGAATCTCGGGGTCTCGCACACAGGTGGGCTGCAGGGCGGGCTGGATCTTCAGGAGCACAAGGAGGACAGCAAGGCCCGGCCTGTCCACGGCCCGGACACGGGGGCACTGAGAAGGGAGTCCTCTGACAGGGTCAGCCGGGCCCAGAGAGAGAGAACAGCAGGGAGGACGCTTGCTGCTCACAGCTGATCACATCTGTGTCACGGCACCTCTGCCCAGGAGTCGGCCCCGAGCACAGAGCCAGGAGTCGGCCCTGAGCACAGAGCCGGGAGTCAGCCGTGAGCACAGAGCCAGGAGTCAGCTCTGAGCACTGAGCCAGGGGTAAGCCCCGAGCACAGAGCCAGGAGTCGGCCCTGAGCACAGAGCCGGGAGTCAACCCTGAGCACAGAGACGGGAGTCAGCCGTGAGCACAGAGCTGGGGGTCAGTCCCAAGCACAGAGCTGGGAGTCAGCCCTGAGCACTGAGCCAGGGGTCAGCCCTGAGCACAGAGCCGGGAGTGGCACCACCCACACAAGGAGGAGGAGAGGGTCGAGGCTCCAGCCATGGTCCTGGCGGTCCCTGCCCCATGATCCTGTCCTGGCACCCCCCGTGCAGCCTGACTGCCGCCCCAGCGAAGGCCACCCCAGAGGGCGGGGCAGTGGGAAGACCCCAACCTGCCGCCCGTGTGGCCGTAAGAAGGACCCGCTGGCTGCCCTGTGGGGGCCAAGGCCGGTGCCTGCGGGATTGGGGCAGTGCTCAGGGCTCACTCGGCAGTGCCTGGGGGGGGTGGCCAGGTCTGACCTCGGCCTCACCACAGCCCCAGGACAGCGTCAGACTCTGCGGGGCCAGAGCCCCCGGGGAGGGCAGGGCCCCTTGGGAGGGGCTCCCGGCAGGATGCTCGGGGCCCCAAAGAGCTTCGTTCCCTGCAGGCCGGGCTGGGCTCCCACACCTGGCGGCGGCAACTGCCCCCGAGGCCAAGACCAGTCACCCGGCCCGGCAGCGCCTCCCGTCCCCCCCCCCCCACCCCCGCGGAAAGGCCCTGCCCCCAGACCTGCGCTTCCTCTTTATGTTTGTTTTGAAGAAAGGGGAAACTCCCAAACAGTGCTCAGAGGGGCTGGCCTGTCCCAGGGACTCTCCACCGACCCTGCAGTTCCAGCCTGCAGTTCCCAGTGGCCCCAGGGGACCGTGCAGGGCAGCTGGCCCGGTGGCCTCCTGCCTGCTGTCACCTGGCGTGGCCACTGGCCCGGGAGACGGGCACAGCTGTCCCCAGGCGCCGGGCCAGGAAGTAGGGCGGGGGGGGGGGGGGGGAGTGCTCGAAGGCGCTGCGGCTGCCAGGTGGGCCCGTGGCCTCGGATCCGGTGGCCCCAGGACACTGTGGGACGGGCCCGGCAGGGCGATGGGCACAGGGTCACAGGGCACTGGGCGGCCTCAGGCCAGGACCCACATGTGGGCGGGGGGGGGGGGACAAAGCTCTGGGGCCAGGCTGCCCCTCACAGTCCTCCTTGTCCCCCCGCACGGGCTCCAGCCTCGTCCCTGCCCCCCGGACCCCCAGACACCTGGCTCCGAGAGGCCCTCACCTGTGACAGGGCCCACCCGGGCGGCCCCCATTCACTCCAAACCCGCTCACAGACTCCGCCTCCGGGGTTGGCCCAATGGCAAAGGGGCCCCCAGTTCAGCCCTCCAGCATGTGGGTGAGCAAAGCCCCCACGGCTCTGCTATCTGGGACCTCGCTCGGGACAAGGGAGAAAGAAGAGAACCAGCAGGGGTGGGCGCATGGGGGTGGGGGGCAGGGGCAGGGGCGGGGAGGGCCCGGCCCAGCACGGCCACATCTGCACCACATCTGCAGGAACCGGGGCCCACCCACCCAGCTCCAAGGCGGTTCCCGCCCCACATTCCCCAGCCCAGCGGGGGGAGGAAGGGGGGGACGGGGCCGGCACTGCCCGGAGAGCAGGTCTGGCTTGCCCCAGAGGCGGCCCCGGCCCCTGCCCACTCCGGCCCCCACGCGGGCTGGGACGCCGTGAATCACAGGCCAGAACCAGGCCAGGGCGTGCCGGGGACGGCGGCCATGGCAGCACTGTCCAGGGGGACAGCACAGGCACCCCGGGCCGGGCCCGCTGTGTCCTGGGGTCTGTCTTCACTCTGAGCCCCGCGTCACCTCTTCATTGACAAACCCGGACAGGGTTCCTGCCAGGGGCATGCGGGCTGGACACCCGGAGGTTTCCCTGTGCCCTGCCCGGCGGGGCCTGAAGGGAGCCGCCAGCCACACGCCCCTCCCCAGCACCCATCTGGCCGCTGCCCACCGGACACTGTCCGCTGCGGAGTGTGGCTGCCCAGCCCTGTCTGTGGCGAGGGTCAGCCCAGTGGTGATCACATACCTCCGTGCACACACGACTACATGCACACACACCTTCTGCACACGCACCTCCTCGTGTACACACAACACCTCGTGTACACACACCTGCTGCAATGCACCTCCTTGTGTACACATATCTACACACACCTCCTCGAGTACACACACACCTCGTGTACACACACCTCCTGTACACGCACCTCCTTGTGTATACACACACCTCCTGCACATGCACCTCCTCGTGTACACACACCTGCTGCAATGGACCTCCTCGTGTACACATATCTACACACACCTCGAGTACACACACACCTCCTGTACACACACCTCGTGCACACGCACCTCCTTGTGTACGCACACCTCCTGGTGTATACTCACTACACACACCTCCCGCGCACACACTGCGGTGCACACTCGTCTGCACACACACCCTCCGCCTCGACGGGGCTGGTCTCTGCCCAGGGCCCGGACCGCGGCCCCGCGCCAGCCCGCCCGGCGCCCCCGCCCCTCCCCGCCGCGCCCGCCCGCGCGCGCTCCCTCGCGGCCCCCCGGCGCTCCACGTCCTGCGTGCGGGGTGACGGGTGACGCACGCGCCCCGCCCGCCGCCGCCGCCGCCGCCGCCTCGCGCCCGCGGGTGCTGGGGCCGCTAACGGTCCCGCGCCGGCCCGCGCCCCCCGCGCCCGCCCGACCATGGGGGCGGCGGCGCCGCTGCGCTCGGAGCTGTGGGTGCGGCGGCAGCGCTGCGCCGTGAGCCTGGAGCCCGCGCGGGCGCAGCTGCGCTGGTGGCGGAGCCCGGGGCCCGGGGGCGCGCCCGGCGCGGGTGAGTGAGTGGACGCGGGGCGGGGACCCCCGGGACGGGCGCGGGGGGCGCTGCCCCCGGGCCCGGGCCTGCGGGGCGCCCGGCCGGCTCCTGGCGCGCCGTCCCGGGGGCCCCGCCTGGCCGGCACGGACCGTGGGGGGACGCTCCGGGCTCTGCGCTCGGGGACCGCCCCGGCAGGCCCGGGGACGGATGCGGCGGGGGTGCGGGGCCGAGCCCGGGGGAGGGGCGGTGTGCAAGTCGCCTGCCCGCGAGCTGACCCCGGCCCGGGGGAGGGACGGCGCCCTGGGTCCCGCGAAGCAGCCGGGGGTGCGGGAGGGGCGTGCGCGCGTGGGCGGGGGGCGTTCTGCGCGTTCGTTGGGGTTTGCAGGGTCCCGGGGGGCCGGAGTGTCGGGTGCTGGGGACACGCGTGGCGACACCCAGGGGTCACTCCGGGCGGTGCTCGGGGTGCCCGGAGCGAACCGGGTCGGCTGCTGTGCTGTGGGTCCGGCCCCTTCGGTGAGATTTCCGGGGGTCGCAGGCAGGCCTTGGGGTAGGGGACAGCCCTGCCCCGGGGTCCCCCGCAGCGCCAGCCTTGCCCGGGTGCCGGGAAGGGAAGGGGGCAGGCGCCCACCCCTGCGGGGACCCTCAGCCAGGCTGCGCGACAGGGGAGGGAGGGGCGGGAGGGGCCGAGGGACCCTGGGACTTGGGTCCTTCCGCGGGTGACCCCCGTGCAGCAGGCGCCTGCGGGGGTGGGGGTGGGCTTCTCCGGAGCACTATTTTCAGAGCACCCCAGCGGGTTGTCCTGGGGGAGCACTGGGTCGCCAGCGCCCAGGGAGGCGGGACGTCACCTCCCTGCGAGGGCACGGGGACAGGCGGGGCCCTGCTGGCTGTCTGCAGCCCCCAGCTGCACTCTGCGAGGAGCGAACCACAGCGTCCACTTGCTGGCCACCACTGGCCGCCGGACACAGGGAGAGACGCTCGTGCAGACGGTCTGACCCGGCTCCGTTGGGGTTGGGGGTGGGTTTTTTTGTTTGTTGGTTTTCGGCTTTTAGGGTCACGCCCGGCGCTGCCCAGGGTCACTCACTCCTGGCTCTGTGCTCAGGGGTCACCCTGGCAGAGCGTGGGGGACCCTGTGGGTGCCGGGGAGCAACCCCGGGTGGCCGCTTGTCCTATGCTCGGTCACTCTGTTGGGTTTTCTCCCTGGCATCCCCGGCAGTGTGTGGGGGGCAGGCTGCGGGGGATAGGGCCGAGGGTCAGGGCCCGGGGGACAGGGCCAGGGGTCAGGTCCCAGGGAACAGGGCCGGGAGGGCAGGGCTTGGGGGGTCAGGGCGGGGGGTCAGGACTGGGAGGACAGGGCCGGGGGACAGGGCCGGAGGGACAGGGCTGGGGGGACAGGGCTGGGGGTCAGGGCCCGGGGGACAGAGCGGGAGGGGGGATCAGAGCCGGGGGGACGGGGCAATGGGACGAAGCTGGGGGCCAAGGGCCGGGAACGGGGTCGGGGGGGGGGGGGGGGTCAGGGCCGGGGGTCAGGGCCGCTGGGCTAGCCTCGGGCGGCAGGCAGAGGGCTCGCCTGGGGCCCGGTGCGCCCACCTGCCCCTTGTCTCCCGACGTCACGCCTGCTGTGCAGGAGGGGGGGCGCGGGGCGCGTCCTCCAGACCCACCGAGGCGCCCCCGTGGACGGGACACGTGCCGGTGACCGGAAGCGGGGAGCGGGGGGCCCTGCCGGCAGGAAGTCGCAGCGCGTGGACGTGGGCAAGGCCCGAGCGCAGGCGCGGGGCGCACCCCAACCCCGGCGGGCCACGTGGCACCGGTGCGTGCGTCCGTGCGTGTGCGTGACGCCGCGTGCGTGCCCACGCGTGCCGCTGCTCTGTGCTCCTGTGCGTGCCGCGTGCGTGTCCCGCGGACGCCCGTGGCTTGGTGGCGCTCGGGCGGGCCTCGCCGCGCTGCTCCGCCTCCCGCCCCCACCCCAGCACCTCTCCGCTCTGTGCTCAGGGAAACTGAGGCTGGCCGCCGCAGCCCTCGGGAGTGTGTTTCGGCCGGAGCGACGGCGCGCGCGGCCGACCCGGGTTCGAGCCCTGAGCGCACACTGCCAGGAGCGGCTCCAAAGCCAAAGAGAAACTTTGTTTTTTTTTTTCTGGTTCGCAAAAGTAATGTGTGTTACACTGTTACACTGTTCCGCACCGAAGCACCAGAGTGTCGGATTCACTCGACCTGTTCAGGGCACGTGTCTGGCGTGTTTGGGCCCCGCGTTTGCGTGGCGCTGCGTGGCCCCTCCCCGACCCCCTGCCCGACCCCCTCCCTGACCCCTTCCCCGCGGCCACCCAGCCCCGCCTGCCCTGGGCTCCCGGCAACAAAGTGTCAAGTGCTGATGACCCTCGGGACAGGCAGAACAGTCCCCGCTCGGGCCCCCACACACGCCTCGGGTCGGACCCACACACACACACAGACACACACACACACACACACACACACATTCTCTCTCTCTGTTCCTCTCCCTCCCTCCCCTCTCTCCCTCTGTCTCTCCCTCCTTTCTCCCTCTCTCTCTCTCCCTCTCTCTCTCCTCCCTCTCTCCCTCCTTCCCTCCCTCCCTCCCTCGCTCTCCTTCCCTCCCTCCCTCCCTTTGTCTCTCTCTCCCTCTGTCTTTCTCCCTCTCCATCTCTCTCCCTCTCTCTCTCCCTCCATCCCTCCCTCTCTCCTTCTCTCTCCCTCCTCTTTCTCTCCTCTCTCTCCCCCCCCCCTCCCTCCCTCATCCAGGGGCCGGGCCAGGCTTTCTCAGGCTGAGCAGAGCAGCCGGGGGCGGCCGCCCTGTGCCAGGTCGGAATGTCGGAGGCCGCGCCAAGGTCAGCCCCACGTGTGTCTCCGTGCCTGGCTGGGCTGCTCCTCCCTTCCTGCCTGGGTCACTGTGTCAGCCTGCAGGACGACGGGCGCCGCGTGCCCGCCCCTCCCCAGCCTGCTGGCATGGTGGTGAGGTGGGCAGCGTGTCCCTCCCCCGGCCGGGCGCCCTCTGAACGGACAACCCCCTGCCACACGCACACACCGCCCGTGTTCCAGGTCCTGTCACCCTGGTCCCTGGGTGGCCCCTCCCAGACCCGCTCCCTCGGGCTGCCCCAGGCGCTGGGCAGGTGCTGGTGCCCCGGTGGGTCCACCGAGCCCGCCAGGACTGACTCCTGAGCACAGAGCCAGGAGTAAGCCGCAAGCAAGCACCGTCAGGTGTGACGATCCCCCCCCCCCCCCCACCACCACCAAAGAAACAGAAACAAAAAATTCGATTCTGACTTCTCCATGTTTCCTAGTTCTTTCCTTTGGGGGCTCAGGCGATGTTTGGACAGTTACGGGGGGCCGGGGGCTGGAGCTGGGGGTGCGAGAGCCGGGCCTCACAGATTTGGGGACCCCAGCCCCCCCAGGCCGTGCTGGGGAGGCTGAAGGCCGGGGCCCAGCCCCCTAAGCCCCATGACCCCAGTTGCCTGCTGACGCGTCTGTGCCGGCCATGCCGCGCCGCCCCACGGCTGAGCTTCTCCTAACTCTGATTCTGCCGCGCCCCGACCGTCCCCGGGCTGAGTGGCACCGGGCTGGCGGCTGGGAGGCCAGCACCGTCCCTGGGGGGTGATGCCATGCACCGGCATGGACAGCCGGGCCAGGCCTGTGCGTCAGGCAGCTGGGGGGGTGCGCCCGTGTGCCCCGGTGGGTGCCCAGGGGAGTCCCTGAGCCCAGAGCCAGCCACCTGCGCGCCCGGCACTGCCCACTCCTGCCTGCCCGGAAGGGTTTGCGCTCTGGTCGGCGTGGCTGGCAGGGCGGCCTGTGCCCAGCTTGTGGCCCTGGGCCCGTGGCTGCTCGGGTTACCCTGTACACTGTCCCTGGGGACAAGGGATGGCCGCTGCTGGGTCAGCTGGCCCCAGTGGGCAGCGGCCCTGCCTCCCGTGGCCCGTGTGAAGGCCAGCGACTGGGCCCACGGCCCCGGGGTGAGGGGACAGGGCGGGCACCGGTGCTGCAGAGGATGTTGGGGGTCCTGGGGTGCTCCTGGCAGCCTTCTCTGGGACGAGGGGTCTGGCCCTCTTGGGGTGGTAACCACAGGGTGACCCGAGAGGGTCTGAGCAGAGTCCCCTTCGGGCTGGGGGACGGGGGGACGGAGCTGTGGGAGGTGGGGAGCCGGGGGTTGGGGACAGCTGGGGCAGGGCAGCCTCATGCCCGCGCCCCGGTTCCTGCCTCTGAGGGGCGCGTCCTCTCGGGGCGGGTGACGGTTGCTAAGCGGCGTCCCTGCGGCGTGTCCTCGGCAGTGCGGGAGGAGGAGAGAGGGCCCAGGGGACCCGGGCGTCCCACGGGGACACAGGGCTGGCCCCGGCTCCATCTCCTTCCTGGGGGGGCTCCCGGCTCTCCTCCCGTCGCACAGACCTGCGGGGTCCAAACCTCTGTGCCCCGACGCGGCGTGCAGTGGAAGCCCAGCAGTGCCACCAGCGCCGGGCCCTGCCCAGGACCCCCATTCCCTGGAGGCCCGCCCTCACCAGCTCTGAGAGCACCCCCCCAAGCCCCGCCACTGCCCTATGGTCTGGGGCTTCTGTCCCCGGGGGGGCGCAGGGCTGCTGCGCGCGCCCTGACGCCCCCGTGTCCCCGCAGACGCCTGCTGCATCCCCGTGTCCGAGATCATCACCGTGGAGGAGGTGGACAGGACGCCCCACATGGGCGGGAAGTGGCAGAAAATGGAGAGGCCCTACGCCTTCACAGGTGCCTCCGCCGGCTGCGGGCGCTTGCCGTGCCCTGTGTGGGTCCCAGAGCCCTGCCCTGCCCAGGGGCAGCTGAACCTGCTTGCTGCCCTTGCTGGGCAGAAGGAAAACGCTTGGGGGGCGAGGGGGGGCTTGCAGCCACTGCAGAGCTGCTGTGCAGGGGAGCACGTGGAGGGTGCAGGGAGGCGTGTGGCGGGTGCAGGGAGCAGGGGCGAGGCAGAGCGTCCCGGGACTGTCCCCGCAGTGCACTGTGTGAAGAGGCGGCGGCGGCGGCACCACTGGAAGTGGGCGCAGGTGACCTTCAGCTGCGCGGAGGAGCCGCTGTGCCAGCTGTGGCTGCAGGCGCTGAGGGAGCAGCTGGAGAAGCTGAGTGAGCACAGCCACGCCCCCGCGGGAGCCCCCACCCCTGGGCGAGGCCGGGCAGGGCCTGGTGGCCCCCTCCCTCCCTCCCTGGATGCAGACCCCGGGGGATTGCTTTGGCAGGGGGCCAGGGGGAGGTTTGGGGCCACCCGGGTGGTGCTCAGGGCTATTCCTGGGCGCTCAGGGGGCCCGTGCAGGGGGCCGGGGCCCGACGGGCGGGGCCAGCCCCCTGCACCCTCCCGGCCTGACCTGACCCCCCACGTGCTTCAGTTTGTTTTGGGGCTGACTGCGGGGAGTCGCCCAGGCATCACAGCCGGATGCAGGCACGGACCCCCGTCCTGGGCTTGATCTCAGGCCGCGCCCCTGCTCCCTCTCCGGGGCCAGCCCTGGGCTTTTGTCCTTTCTCACGGGGGTCTCAGGGTCCGCAGCCACTCCTGGGGCTTCTGGCGTGATCGGATTAGTTCCGCGTGGGTCGGGCCCGGCACTGTGCTGGGAACTCCCCAGAGGCGTGGCCCGGCCCTGCACGGTGTCCATTGCAGGGTCAGGACCTCCCCACCCCATTCCCCGGTCAGCCAACAGGCAGCCACCCCCCCCCCCGCGGCGGTCTGCCTTGCCGTGCCGCGACCAGCCTGCCCGTGTCTTTGCAGCCTGCAGGCCCAAGCACCTGCTGGTCTTCATCAACCCGTTTGGAGGGAAGGGCCGAGGCAAGAAGGTGTACGAGAGGAAGGTGGCGCCCCTCTTCCTGCTGGCCTCCATCAGCACCGACGTGATCGGTGAGCCCGCGGGCGGCGTCTTCCCGGCGTGGGACATGACGGTGCTTGCCGGGTCTGCATTGGGGGCCACACCTGCTGGTGCTCAGGGGCTCTGTGCCCGGCCCTCACTCCCTGGGGTCCTCGAGGGACCCTGCAGTGCCGGGAATTCAACCCTGGGCGCCTCCCACGTGCCAAGCCCCTGCTCTGGTCACGGTGCCTCTCAATAGCCCCACGTGGGATTTATATTTTGGCTTTTGTACCACACCTGGCAGTGCCCAGGGATCACCCCTGCCAGCACTCGGGAGAGACTGTGGGCTTCCAGGGATTGGACCCAGCTTGGCCGCCTGCAAAGGCACATGCCCTGCCCACTGTGCTACCTCTTCGGTCCCTGCAGATGGTTTTTTAAATACAATATAAAGTGCCTGGACGAGGAGACTATGCAGAGGGCCTGTGAGCACAGGGACGAAGGCTGGACCTGGGCTCCTTGGCCTTCAAGGTGGTTCCAGCCAACGCGTGGCATCTTTCATTATTTTATTTCTGGCTTTTCGGGCCACACCCGGCAATGCTGAGGGGTCCCTCCTGGCTCTGCACTCAGGAATTACTCCTGACGGTGCTCGGGGGACCCTATGGGATGCCGGTGATCGAACCCGGATCGGCCGAGTGCCAGGCAAACGCCCTCCCCACTATGCTGTTGCTCCGGCCCCAGCACGGCACGTTTTAAAGAAACACATGGCTGCGTCCTCTTCGCTCCAGTTCCGGCCCTTTTTGGGTCAGGAGCCCGGGACAGGGACTCTGCCCAGGGCCCAGTTTCCTGAACCTTCACCCGGAACACAGTCACTGTCCTGGGCAGGCACGGACAGTGGGGTGAGTCCAGCCCCACCCCGCGGGAAGCAAAACCTGGGGCCCTGAGCTGTGGGCGCCCATGGGACGGTCCCCACATGGCACTCAGGCGAGGGCTGGGCTGTGGGCCCAGCTGACCACTGCAGCTGGACTCTTCGGCTCTCTGTTCCTTAACCGCTAAACACGTTCAGTTAAAGACAATTATTTTCCAAGTGATTGGGAAGCTTCGAGGAGCCCCAGGGACGGTCCCTCTTGCCCCGAGAGTGGCCCGTCTAGGCCCCGGCCTGCGGGGGGCTCCTTCTTCCTTTCCCGTCCGCTGATTCTCTGATGCTCGTGTGTCTGAGAGTGCGGAGGGGGTTGGGGTGGCCTGACCTGCGTGTCTCTGTGAGCGTTGCCCTTGCCCCGGGGCTTCCGGGGGCTAACCTCTGCCTCGTCCATCCCCGTCTCTGCAGTGACCGACCAGCCCAACCACGCCCGGGACACGCTGTACGAGACCAACCTGGAGAAGTACGATGGGTGAGTGGCGGGAGGGTCACACCCTCCTTGGGGAGGGGTCGCCCTCACCCAGCTCCCCACGGGTCATGTGACAGGGTGTCCCCCACCCCCCCACCAGTATTCCCACTGTCCTTGAAGAGGTGGAAATGGGGGTGTGGCCGTGCTCCAGGCAGATGGGCTGTGTCAGGCCGCAGCTCACCCAGGGTCTGGTGTGTGTGTCCTGCCCGTGGGGAGCTGTCCCCAACACCCAGCATGGGGACCGAGTGGGCACGGCCGTCCTGGGCGGGAGGAGCTGGCTCGGGGCGGAGGGCGGAGCTCGGTGACCGCTGGGGCCCATGCTGCTGGGGTGGTTGTGAGTGTGCGGCGCAGGGGTCAGTGTGGACAGTGGCCAGGGAGGGAGACCGCTGGGCTGTGGGTGCAGCTCGGGGAACCCCACCTGCCCGTCTCAAGCTGCGGGTGGGACCTGCCTGCCGAGTGCCCCCGGGGGCTGGGCCCTCCATGCTCGCTGTGCAGTTCCCGGCCCCCCAAATGGGCTCAGGAGTGATCAGAGGGCAAACGAGCCCGGGCATCCTGGGATGGACACAACCTCCAGAGAAGGGGTCCTGGGGGTGGACGGAGAGATTGTAGGGGATAGCCATCTCCCGAGTGACGGGTTCAGGGGTCCTGGTGAAAGAAGAGGTTGTAGGGGACTGTCAGTCTCTGGAGTGACGGGTTCAGGGGTCCTGGGGGTGGACGAGAGATTGTAGCGGATGAGTGGCGGGTTTGGGGGGGTGCCCGGGAACATCGGCCTTGGGGGAGCCGCCCGCAGACGCAGGACGAGGTCCGTGGGGATGCTGTGGGCTGCTGGGGCCCGGGCTGTGGCGGGGTGGGGGGTCCCCGCTGTGAGGGGCCCTGGAGGCTGCTCCCTGCAGCTGAGGCCACGGCCTGACCCTGCCCACCCCCAACCCCCTCCCGCAGGCTGGTGTGTGTCGGTGGGGACGGCATGTTCAATGAGCTCCTGCACGGCCTCATCAGCAGGACACAGCGCAGCGCGGGCGTGGACCAGGACGACCCCCGGGCGGCTCTGGTGCCCAGCCCCCTGAGGATAGGCATCATCCCAGCCGGTACGTTCCCCCACCCCCAACCTGGCCCTGTGCTCTGAGCCGAGGAGCCCTGCAGGGGCCTGTGTCCAGGGGACAGCTGCTGGCCACTGTCCCCCTGCGGGCAGCACCGTCTCTGGGAGGCTGCGGGGGCTTGGGCCGGGGCAGGGCCCGCCAGTGTGGTCAGCTGCAGTGGACCCCACGTGTCCGCTCAGAGTCCCCAAACAGAAGGGACCCACGGCATGCAGCCCCCCACCTGGGAGTTCATTCATGCAGCTGGTCGCTGAGGGTGTGGGTGGGTCACTGAACAGGCACCCTCGGATCTGGGTCTCCCGACCCGGGAAGACGGGGGTCCCACTGTGAGGGCGGGTGCTGGGCAGTGGGTTCTGGGGAGGTGAGCTGGACGGGCTGTGCTGGGCAGCAGAGTGGAGGGCCAGGGCAGGGAGGGGTCATGGCCCAAGGCCAGCTCTGAGCTGACGGCCGCCTCTTAAAAATTCTGAATTCTGGGAATTTTTATTAGAAACTCCATTTGTCTCCCACATCCGTTGCCCCAAGGGCCTGGGCACCGTGGCGAGTGGGTGAGCAGGGCCCGAGGCCAGAGCCAGGCCCCAGAAGTCCGGTCCAGCCCTGGGGTCCAGACACCCCAGCCCTCATCAGGCCTCACGGCTGTGAGGTCCTGGCAGAGCAGCGAAGGCCACAGTGGCCACCAGTGCTTCCCCCCCCAGTGGACTCTGACCTACAGAGTGACCCCCCACTCCTTCCTGCCCGCAGTGGACAATAGGCCGGGTGGGGCCTCTGCATAAGCATGGAACCTGCACGGTGGGTGGGCCTGCCCGCCCCGCCCCTTTCCTCCTGACCCCGCCCACCACGCGCCCACGCCCACATTCCCTCTAGCCATGCCCACAGGTCCAGCCACGCCCTTTACTGCTCCTGTGGCCACGCCCACAGGTCTGGCCACGCCCTTTACTGCTTCTGTGGTCACGCCCATAGGTCCAGCCACGCCCTTGCTGCTTCTTTGGCCACGCCCGTAGGTCAGCCACGCCCTTTACTGCTTCTGTGGCCACACCCCCAGTCTTACCATGCCCTTGCTGCTTCTGTGGCCACGCCCATTCGCTTAGCCATGCCCCTTACTACTTCTGTGACCACGCCCATGTGAATGGCCACATCCTTTACTGCTTCGGTGGCCACGCCCAGTCTAGCCACGCCCTTTACTTCTGTGGTCACGCCCACAATCTAGCCACGCCCTTTGCTGCCTCTGTGGCCACGCCCACCCATCTAGCCACGCCCTTTGCTGCCTCTGTGGCCACGCCCACCCACCTAGCCACGCCCTGTACCGCCTCTGTGGCCACGCCCACGCGCCTGGCCACGCCCCTTGCTGCCTCCGTGGCCACGCCCTCTGCACCCCACACCCTCCCTGCTCTCCTCCTGCTCCCACGTCTCTGGCCACTTCGTGTCCCGCAGCTGGCCCCTGTCTCCCCCAGCAGCCTCGCCTGCTAATGACACCCAGCAACGTCCCCAGCCACAGGAGACGCCACCCCTGCGATGAGTCATCTGCAGGCCAGCTGGGCGGCTGGGAGCCTCTTTGATGTGCGGGTCGCTGGGAGCAGCCCGTTCTCGGGCGGAAACGGAGGAGGCCCGCTCGGGTGGCTTCCTTCCCCCGCAGAGGCTGCGACGGCCGTGTGCTGCCAGGTTTTGTCCCCGCAGTTGGAATCCCCCCCAGGTCGTTAAGGACCCTCTTTCTCGCTTCAGGGTCGACCGACTGCGTGTGCTTTTCAACGGTGGGCACCAACGATGCGGAGACGTCGGCTCTGCACATCATCGTGGGTGGGTCCCTGCGGGCACCACGAGGGAATCTGGGTCTCCCTGTCTGCCGTGGGGGCCTTGGGCGCCGACGGCCGATGCTGTGTGTGTTGGCCGAGGCTTCCTGGCTGCCTGCTCTCCTGCCCTGCCCTTCCACGCCCACGGAGGCCCTGGGTCCTCCCAGCACCCTCTGATGCCCCATCCGGAGGCCTGGGGGGCATGTCCAGGGAGCACCGGCTGCCACTCAGCTCCATATCCGTGTGGGTCTGGCGCCGGGACCCAGGCCTGTCCCTCCCCGTGCCCCCGGGGCCGAGTCTCTGCCCTCAGGAGTGCAGATCGCGAGGGAGGGGCCTCACTTAGGGAACCCCCCCCAACACTCCTGCCCCCCACGGGCATCTGTTATCACGGAGGCCTCATGCCTAAGAACCTCCCCTCTGTGATCCCGCACAAACCTCTGAGCCTTTCTCTCGGGTCGGTGGGCTCCGCAGACTTGAGCCCAGTGCCCGCCCAGGCCCCCGCGGCAGCCCCTGGCATTACCTTGTGATGGGGGATGGGGGGCACCTCGAGCCTGCCTGTGCTTGGGCCCGAGCGATAGTGCAGAGGGTGGGGCACTTGCCTTGCACGGGCCGACGCGGGCTCGCTCGATGGCCGGCGTCCCAGGGGGTCCCCCTGAGCACCACCAGGAGCGATCCCCGAGCACCGAGCCAGGAGTAACCCCTGAGCAATCACCAGGGGTGGGGCACGAGCAGAACAAGAGAAACAAGGCGTCCTCGCGTCCCTCCTGCCGTGGCATGTGCTTAGTGTACCGCCCCCTCCTGGCGTGGCCCCTCCCACACCCCGAACCCACGGAGGCGAGAGCGACCGCAGTGCTGAGCAGGCAGTGACGGTCCTGTCTCCCCCCACCCCGCCCCGCCCCCGCCCGCAGGGGACTCGCTGTCCATGGACGTGTCCTCGGTGCACCACGAGCACCGGCTACTGCGCTACTCCGCGTCCCTGCTGGGCTTCGGCTTCTACGGGGACGTCATCCGGGACAGCGAGAAGAAGCGCTGGATGGGCCCCGTCAGATACGAGTTCTCAGGTGACGCGCCTCCTCCCCGCGCAGTGGTGGCGGTGGTGGGGAGGGGGGTCCGCGTGCATCGTGGGAACCTGCGTCTGGGGGCACCCTGGGGTGCGGCCAGGTCGGCCCCCCGCTGGGTGTCGGGGTGTGGGAGCAGCCGGTGACGCGTGTCCGCGTCCGCAGGGTTCAAGACCTTCTTCACGCACCACTGCTACGAAGGCACTGTGTCGTTCCTGCCGGCACAGCACACGGTGGGGTCTCCGCGGGACGGGAAGCCCTGCCGGGCCGGGTGAGCCCCTCCCCCCAGCACCCTCTGCGGGGTCTCCCACCACCCCCGTGGCCACAGCGGCAGCTCAGGAGCAGAGGAGTGTGGGTGCGTTCTGGGTGAGCCATGAGTGGTGGTGTCCACCTATTACACTTGGGTGCACTGCGGCCACGTGGCCAGCTCCAGCTGTGGGGGACGGGGGACCCCCCAGCCAGCACTGACCGAGCACGGCCACCAGCCCCACGCACCCAGCCGCCTGCCCCGTGTCCGTCTCTCCAGGGCCTTTCTGCCCACGCAAACAGCTTTGCTTCTCCCGTGCTCGGCGTGGCCCGCACCGTCCACGCAGGACTCGCTGGGCGGGCTTGGAACCCCGCAGCCTCCAGCTAGAGGCTTCCCTGGGGGGCCTGCGGGCATGTCTACCCCTTCCCTAGGGCTCCCCAGGGCCGGAGCGGTTCAGCGTGCCCTTTGCCCTTCACACCGATCGCAAACATAAACGGTGGAAGGCGCCTTGTGCTGTGGCCCGGGTCTCGTGCTGAGAGTTCACGTCAGTGCACCACAGTGGGGTCTGGAGGAACTCGGAGACCGGACATGTGTGACTGGGCGGCAGTGACGTGCATGCGCTGTGCATGTGCGTGCATGTGTGTGTGTGTGTGTGTGTGTGTGTGTGGCAGGAGCAGCAGTGCGTGTGCGTGTGCGAGAGGCAGTGCGTGGATCCGGACATGGGTGCAGTAGCACAGTGCATGCATGCGTGCTCAGGGCGTTGCGTGCACGCGCGCGCGTGTGTGTGTGTGTGTATCGGCGAGGGTTGGTGCATGCATTGTGTACCACAGGGCCAGTGTGTGTGAGGCAGGGACTGTGCGTGTGCAGTAGGGCCGATGCATGTGTGTGTGTGTGTGTGTGTGTGCACATGCGTGTCAGGGCCGGTGCCCGTGTGCGCTGTGCGTGGGTCCGGGCGGCTGGAACGCGTGTGTTTGCCTCGCAGGTGCTTCATTTGCCGGCAGAGCAAGCAGCAGCTGGAGGAGGAGCAGAAGAAGGCGCTCTACGGGCTGGAGAACGCGGGTGAGCCGGGCACCATCCCCTGCTGGGGTCCAGAGTGCAGCCCCTCCGGCCCCTCCCAGGCCCGCCGTGCCCGGGGGCTGCCTGTGCTCCTGGCCGGGAGCAGCCCGTGGGAGGGGGCCCGAATCCTGCTGTGCGCCCCCGCCCCCTTTGCTTCTGGAGTGGGGGTCAGCGGGGTCCTCTGTGTGTGTGTGTTGGGGGGGATATCGTGTCCACCTGCCCCTGCCCAGTGCAAGCAGCATGAGGACATTCACTCAGCGGCTGGGCACACGGCCTCCATGGGTCTGGGCCCCACAGGGTCCTGGCCGCTGCCCCCCACTGCCCGTGGTGGACTGGGAAAAGCAGCGATCCCCCCACCCCCAGGGATGCCCAGGGCCCCAGGCCCAAGGCTCTGTCTCCCCCCCAGAGGACCTGGAGGAGTGGAAGGTCATCTGCGGCAAGTTCCTGGCCATCAACGCCACCAACATGTCCTGTGCATGTCCCCGGAGCTCCCAGGGCCTGTCCCCGTCGGCCCACCTGGGGGACGGCTCGTCAGACCTCATCCTCATCCGCAAGTGCTCCCGGCTGGACTTCCTCCGCTTCCTCATCAGGCTCACCAACCACTCGGACCAGGTGAGCGGGCGGGCACGGCCCGGGGGGCGGCCGCGACCAGCCCCCCGTGCTGCTCGGCTGGGCCTCGGGGCACCTCCCGGCTCTCTGCCCCACAGCCCACCCAACCCTGCTCCTGCTCCCGGCACCATCCAGGGCTTTGACTCCGATTTTGCTCAAAAAAAGAATTTTTTTTTCTTTTTGGGTCACACTCGGTGATGCTCAGGGGTTCCTCCTGGCTCTGCGCTCAGGAATGACTCCTGGCGGTGCTCAGGGGACCACATGGGATGCTGGGATCGAACTCGGGTCGGCCACGTGCAAGGCCAACGCACTCCCCGCTGTGCTGTCGCTCCAGCCCCCTCTGTTAAGTCTTTACAACGCCTCCCGCCTGCCCGCCGAGGCACTCAGAGGCACCCGAACCAGCACAGAACAAAGGACAGAGTCACCCATCACCAGCCATTGCACAGCCTTGGAGCCGTGTGGGCTGTGGGCGGTGGGATCCCCCGTCCCTGGGTGCCCCTGAGCCGCAGAGGGCAGACGTGCACTCAGGAGGAAGACTCTAGGGTCCCTGGGGGCTGGGGGCGTCCTGTCCTGTCCCACTGCCCCTCGTAGGGTGGGAGGGCTCCTGCGGTCAGGGGCCCCGAGGCCACCCCAGCTGCGCTCCCGTGCTCAGACCCAGAGTGGGCGCTCGGGGGTCAGGGCGCCAGTCCGGCGGGGTGGGTGCTTGCTGTGCTGAAGCTGGCCGGGTCCAGTTCCCAGCACCCCTAGGTGGTCCCCCAATCCCGCCAGGAGTGACCCCTGAGCACAGAGCGGGGCGCATCGGCCGAGGGCCCTCGCAGGGTCCCCCGTCCCCGAGCCACACCGTCAGCGCCCCTCCCCCCGCCCGCAGTTTGACTTCACGTTCGTGGAAGTTCACCGCGTGAAGCGCTTCCAGTTCACGGCGAAGCCCCCGGAGGAGGAGGCGGCGGCGGCGGAGCCGGACGCGGGGGCCCAGAGGAAGGGCCTGGGGCACATCTGCAGTGAGCAGCCCCCCGAATGCTGCGCGCAGCCCCCCAGCTCCTGGAACTGTGACGGGGAGGTGCTGAGCAGCCCCCAGCTGGAGGTCAGGTGAGCGGCCCCCCGGGTGGCCGGGGTCAGGCCGCACGTGAGTGTCGGCGGGTCCCGGGTTCGTGTCTGGAAGAGGGGCCAGAGGTAAAGGGGAGCGGGTGGTGGTGGGCTGGTGTGTGGTCAGGACCCCCCGCTCTCCCCTCTGGATCACAGGTGGCCGGCATGACCCCCCCACCCCCGCGGCCCCCCGGGGCAGCCCAGACCAGTTGGGGCCCATTGTCTGGGGTTAGAACCCTGCCCGCTAATTACGCGGGTTACATAAGCGGATGAAACGTGAGCATGGAGCCCCTTTCCCGTGGGAAAAGGCTGTAAACGCTTCCATAAGCCGCTGTGAAGGTGGCCGGGTCAGGGCCCCCCCCCCCCCACAGGGAGCCACCTTCTAGAAGATTCTGCAGAGGTCAGCTTTGGGGGTGGCTGGCGAGTCCCCGTGGGCCCCCTGGTCCCTGTCACGGGCCCATGGCCACAGCTCTGACGCGCAGCGCGATGCCCGGGGGCCGAGGGGGTGTGAGGGAGCCGTGGGCTCGGAGGGGGCCCGGCCAGCCTCTCCACAGCTGCAGGCCCCTGGCTTTGCGCGGAGGCGGGTGGGCGGGCGGGCGGGTGCTTCCGGCACCTCCTCACTCCCCCGGGGGGCTCAGCAGGGGCTGCACAGTCTGGCGCCCGTTTCCACACGCTGCCCACGCCCCCCAGTAGGCAGCAGACGTGGCCCCACACACACGGGCCCCCTCGCACACGGACCCACACACACACCAGCCCACATGCACACAATCCTACATGTGCACGGGTCTACACGCACACAGGACCAACACACACGGGCCCACGCATACCTGGGTCCTGCAAGCACGGCTTATGCACAGGGGCCCACGTGCACATGATTTTACATGCATGTGGGACCACATATACACGGGTCCACACAGGCTCACACACAGGCTCACACACACACACACACACGAGCCCACACACACGGGTCCACATGCACAGAGGCCCACACGCACCCGGGCTCACACGCGGGCCCAAAAGCACACAGCCCCACGCACACGGGTCCAAACACACATGGACCCACACGCACACAGTTCATGCACACGGGCCCTACACTACGTGGGCCCACACCTACACAGGTCCTGCATGCACGGGTGTATGTGCACATGGTCCTACACACACACATGCGTCCACATGCACATGGGCCCATTCACACGTGGGCTCACACGCACACGGGTTCAAGCCAGCAACAGGCCTGAGTGGGGCCGTGTGTGTGTGTGCACGGGCATGTGTGTATGTGTGTGTGTGTACGTATGTGTGCATGTGTTTGTGTGTGAACGTGCGCGTGTGTATTTGTGTGTATGTGTGTGCATGTGTGTGTGTGCGTGCATGTATGTGTGAGTTTGTGTGCACGTGCGTACATGTGTATGTGTATGCATGCATGTGTATGTGTGCATACGTGTTTGTGTGTGTGCGTGTGTATGTGTGTGCGTGCATGTGTGTGTGTGCAAACGTGTTTGTGTGTGTGCGTGTGTGTATGTGTGCGGGCAGGGCTCTGTGGCTCACACATGCCCTGGTCCCTGCAGGGTCCACTGCCAGCTGGTTCGACTCTTCGCCCGCGGGATCGAGGAGAGCGGGAGGCCGGGCCCCTGTGGCTGAGCCGGGCCTCGGGACACGTCCAGCCCGTCTGTGCCGACGGACATTTCCACGTAGAAATTTATTTCTGATAGTGTGACCCTGACCGTGGGAGCCCCTGGAGCCCGCGGTTTCCAGCGGCCGCCCCTGACACGCGTGTGTCGGCTCCGCTGCGTCCTGCGCCTTCGGCCCTTGCCTTCCCGACCACTGGGCCGTCCGTCGGCCCTCGGTCAGCTGCAGCAGCTGGTGCCCAGCGGGCCCCGCTAGGAAGCCCCCCGCCGCTGCTCGGGAGGCCCAGGCAATCCCAGGGGCGCCCCAAGGGGCGGGACGTGGACACTCCAGGGTGGGGTTCCTCGGCTGCGCCCGGGGCCGCCTCTCGGACCAGCTACTCTTCGCCTGCTTCTTGGGTCTCGTCCTGGGCACCAGAACCGCAGAACTGGGTCTTCCTATTGGTGACTCCCCGCCCCCGCCCCGCCTGTCCCTGCCGTCCTGGGCTGCCTGCGAGTGAGGCTGGCTGGGCCACTCGGGTGGGCCATGGCTTCCGCAGGGTCTGCCCAGCTCGGGGGCCCGTTTGTGTTCTTGGCATCATTCCAAGCCTGGCGGGGGCCAGGACTGAGAGGGCAGCTGGGCACTCAGTGTCCAGGGCCCAGAGCCGCTGACCCCAGGGCCAGTCCCTGGTCCTTTCATGTTCCTGGCTGGGGGGCGGGGCACGGGTCTCCCTGCCTTGTGCCCAGAAGCTGGGCATGGAACCCGGCACCTGCCCTTGGCCGACTGGGGCCAAGGGGGAGCTGAAGGCGGCCTCTAGGGGTGTCGGGGTGTGGGTGCAGCTTGTGTGGGGTGGGGGAGGGGGCTCCGCGGCCGGACCAGGAAGGGCGGCCGGCTGAGTCTAGTCTTGCTGGCTTCAAGATTAGAGAAGAGCCGAGTCAGGTTTGTCTGAAACGTCAGGAATCAAGGACCTGAGCAGAATCTGGCCAGGACTTGGGATGACTTCCTGCCTCCAAGGCTGCGTGATGGGGAGACGCTTCCGGGGGGGTGGGGTGAGCTGAGGAGCGGGGGCCTCCCACTCCCCCGGGGTCCTGGGGTGAGCAGTTTCTTCCCGAGCCCTCGGCCCCCAGTGTCCCAGGACCCCCGAGTCCCTGAGCCGGAGGGAGCGAGCCCTCCCTGCACCTCACCTGGGGTGCCAAGCCTGCTCCCGCGGCCCCAGGAGCCGGCCCTGGGTTGGGGGCGGGGTCCCATCCAGCCGTGCTCCCGGCTGACTTCAGGGTCTGTGCTCAGGGGACCATGTCGAGTCCCGGGGACCAAACCCAGGCCGGCCATGTGCACGGCAGACGCCCTCCCCACGCCCGGCGGTGCCAGGCCTGCCCCTTCTGTAGTGGGTGCCCTCCCTACGCCCCCCCTGCAGATCTCCTGTGTTCAGAGTCCGGCACGGACAGGGGGGTTGGACCTGCAGCTGGGGTTGACGTGGCCTCTGGGGTGTCGGTGGGGGGGTGGACGTAAGGCCAGGAGGTTCCTGTGGCCAGAGCATGGGTGTGGGGGCCGGGTCCCTGTGCCCTCCAAGTGGACCCACTGTGACCCCGTCTCCCCACAGACCAGGGAACCGGGCAGGCCTGACTCCTGGGGTGCACGTGGGTGGGGCTGCAGGAGCTGGGACCAGTGGGCACCTAGTTGGGGGGACTCAGGCGCCCACGCGGACGCCCTGCTGGCCCTGGGTGAGGCGCCCTCGGGTGCTGGTCCCGGGAGTCGTGGGTGCAGCCGCTTCTCCCCTCCCCCCACCCATCTGATGGCCGAGGGCCAGCCCCACCACCCCTGCCCATACCCCGCCCACAGCCGGGCTCCCCTGGGGCGGGCCCCACCTCAGCACAAAGCATTTCAGGTTTGTTTAAATAAAAATTATAATTTATACAAGACTCTGTTCTTTAGACAAACAAGGTTTTCTTAAAAAACGTCTCGCTGGGGGGGGAATGTCCCACCTGGTGCCGACCCCCCCCACCCTCCGGGGGCGGGGGGCACAGGTCACGCAGGACGGCGGGTCACAGACTGGAGTCCACCAAGTCTGGCCACACCCAGCAGCGCGTCGGCAGGACACGGGCAGCCCCCGCGCGTGGCCAGTTTTCATCCCCCTTTCTCCCTAAAAGGGTCTTCAACTGAGCCCCGCCTCCCCGCCCGGGCCCACCCTGTCCCGCGTGGGCACGGGGGTCCCTGGCCGCGGGGCCACGTCATCTCAGGCCGGCAGGTCTGACCCCGACTCGGGCTCTGTGGCCCCGCACGTGGACACCGTTGGGCAGCGTGTCCACCCCTCTTGCCCCCGGCGCCACCCAGGAGGCGTCAGCGGCCAGCCATGCCGCCATCTCCCCCACCCCCCACCCCTGGAAGCAGCAAACTAGGATCAGAGCGAAGGTTAAAAATCACATCTGAAAATGATACAAAAATAAGAAAAACGGCTTGCTCTCTGTAAAAATATAATCTTCTGTTTCTTCAAAAAACAACCATCTCCGTGACACTCGGGGGCCGCGGGCGGGCGCGTGGGTGCCAGCCCGCCACTCCTGCCACGCCTGCGCCCCCACGCTGCCCTCGAGAGACCCCCCTCAGCTCCCTGGGGGCCCCACCCCCATCACGGACCCGGGGTGGGGACCACCGGGGGGCCAAACCTCGGGGGTCTGTCAGGGTCTCTCCAGGAGTTGCTGCAGTGCCCACCCGGCCTGCGGGACAGCCCCGAGCCCTGCCCATGGAGCCTCTGGACGGTCAGTCTCCACCCGAGACTCCCCTCCCTTGAGGGCAGGTGCCCGCGGGACCCCAGCCTGGCCTCCCAGAGCGCAGGGCCGGCCGCCAGGGGGCTGCAGCGGGCCCTGCGCCCAGCTATGGCTTTGGTTGGACAGCCGCAGGTCACCTGCGCCCCCACCGCCCGCGGTCCCGGCCGTCCTCGTCTGCAGCGGGCACCGCCCAGCACCGCGGAGGACACGGCCCCAGGCCGCCGTGGAGGGGCATGAGGCTGCCCCGTCTCTGCCCGCTCCCCAGTGGCGGAGATGGGAGACGGCCATCCAGGCTAGGAGCTGCTGCCCCTGGCTGGGTGCCCGGCCGTGTTGGGAACCGCTGCCCACAGCCACACGCCCAGCAGTGCTGGGAGTCGCTGCCCGCTGCCGACAGCTGCCCGCGGCTGTCCAGCCGTGCTAAGTGTCGCTTCCCGTGGCCGCCGTGGCCGCTGCCGTGATCTTGGAGTACTGGCCGCAGATGGTCTCGAAGGCCTCGTCCCTGTGCACCATCGCACCGAACACCAGCGGCTGTGGGGGGCACGCGTGAGCTCCTGCCCGGTCCCGGCCCCCAGGCGGGACCCCTGCCGCACCCCGCCCGACACTCACCTTCTGCGTGGACGGGGTGGACACGGCAATGCCCATGCCTGAGCCCGGCAGCACAGAGAGGGCCTTGTACTGGGGGGGATGAGGTGTGTCAGGAGGTCGCCCGCACCCACCCTCCTCCGGGGTCTGGCCCTGCCCCTGCTCTCCTCCCTGGGCGTGGGGGCCACAGCACATGCCCGACGGCAGTGCTCAGGGCGGGGGTCCGCGGCTGGTCCAGCTGCCTATGCGCCTGGGGTGGGTCCCTGGGACTGCGTGCCCGCCCTCTCCCGTCTGCGAGTGCGCTGGCCTAACCGTGGCACCTTCTGGAAGGGACCCGGACAGCAGCTATGTGCGAGGGGTCCCAGGGCGCGGCGGGGCTGACCTTCTGGATGTCTGTGATGTCCACCAGCCTGATGACCTTGTTCCTCTTGGACGAGCCGGACTTGGAGCTCTCAAAGCACAGGTAACTGCGGGGCCGGGGGGCGGCCCGTGAGCCCGGGGATCCCCACGGTCAGCCAGCAACCCAGGGGGCAGGGCCCAGGGGCGGCCCCTCGCTGGGACACCAGGGAGAAGCCCCGTCCTCCAGGGTCTGATAGGGACTCGCAGTTGAGCCCTGACCCCGCCGCCGCAGGGAAGCTTTAAGCACTGGCCCCCCAGGCCAACCCTTGGTCAGAAAAGAGCCAAGCAGCGGGGGGCGGGGCATCTGGGAAGGGGAGGAGCTTCGGGGGGCGGGGCATCTGGGAGGGGCGGGGCATCTGAGAGGGGAGAAGCATCCGGGGGCGGGGCATCTGCGAAGGGGAGGTGCATCTGGGGGCGGGGCAGGGCATCGGGGAGGGGAAGGGCATCTGGGGGCGGGGCATCTCCGAAGGGGAGGGGCATCTGGGGGCGGGGCAGGGCATCGGGGAGGGGAAGGGCACCTGGGGGCGGGGCATCTCCGAAGGGGAGGAGCATCTGGGGGCGGGGCAGGGCATCGGGGAGGGGCATCTGGGGGCGGGGTGTCTGGGAGGGCGGGGCATCTGCGAAGGGGAGGAGCATCTGGGGGTGGGGCATCTGGGAGGGGCGGGACATATGGGAGGGGAGAAGCATCCGAGGGTGGGGCTTCTGAGAAGGGCGGGGCATCTGTGAGGGGGAGGAGCGTCTGGGGGCGGGGCATCAGGGAGGGGAGGTCTGGGGCGGGGCGTCTGGGAGGGGAGGGGCGTCTGAGAGGGGCGGAACATCAGGGAGGGGAGAAGCATTCGGGGGCGGGGCATCTGCGAAGGGGAGGAGCATCTGAGGGCGGGGCATCAGGGAGGGGAGGAGGTCTGGGGCGGGGCCTCTGGGAGGGGCGGGGCCTCTGGGAGGGCGGGGCGTCTGTGAAGAGGCGGAGCACCTGGGGGCGGGGCGTCTGGGAAGGGGCGAAGCACCCAGAGAGGGGTGGGGTAGGGTGGGGCACAGAGGGGCGGGGTGCTGGTCGGGCCAGCAGGCAGTGGCCCCTGCGGGCCCAGCCCGGTGGGTCACTCACTTCTCGGTCACGTAGAGGACCCCGTTGCGGATGTAGTCGGTGGGCATCTTGCGGTCCCTGTTGATAAGGCAGCAGCGCCAGCCGCTCTCACAGGCTAGGGGAGAGGCCACCTTGGTCTCTGCGCCTGGACCTGCCCGCCCCTACACCCCATGGAGGCCCGGGGGGTCGCATCTGAGGGGACGGGGCTGTGGTCTCTTGTTCTGTCTTCGGGGGCATCAGGGGAAAGCCCACAGTGTGCTGGGGGGCACATCCCAGAGCCTGCTCTTGGGGGCAGAACGAGCCGGGGCCTGGGAGGGGACGCCTTTCCGGGGTCAGGGGGTCTGCTCAGGGGCCCCGGATCTGCAGGGGCCCTGCACGGTTCTTGCACCCGTGGCCGCTCTCTGCCTCCCCCGCGCCGGCGCCTGGACACACACTCACCGGCCAGTGGCCGCTCGTTCTCCGTCAGGTTGAAGATCTCGTGGAAGTTCCCCTTCCTGGGGCCGTGGAAGCGACCTGTGTCCTCGTCCCGGCTCAGCCCCGAGGGGGCGCTGGCCACGTAGCTGCGCGCAGAGGCCGTCTGCATCTGTGTGGACACGGCGGCGGTCAGCAGGCCACAGTGGGGGCCGCCTTCTCCCCCTGCACCCCTGACCTTCCACTACCCCCACACCCACCACGTCCTGCTGGGCCGCCCCACGGTCAGGGCCAGGGGGCAGCCCCCCCCACCCGAATCTGGGCTGCCCGGGGCCATGTGGCATGAGGAGCCAGAGAGACACACACAGGTCAGGTCAGGGCTGGCTACACCCCCAGGACCCACAACACACACACACACACCTCCACGTGTGACAGTTACACACTGCCACAGGGAGATCATGCGTGTCACACACATACAGGCCACACTTGTGTTTCCAGGAGGCGCCAGGAAGTGTGTGACCTGTCCGGCCTGGGCATGGGGCCTGGCCCTCAACCCGGGCTGGCCCTCTCGGGTCCCGACTGGCCTAGGGGCAGGGCCACAGCTGCCCTCCCCGCCCCCCCGTGTCCCTGGCGCCTGTTCCCGCGGGTGGGCTCACCCTGCGGGCGGCGGCGGCCCCCGTGCGCTCCTTGAGCTGGGGGTCGGTGGGGAGGTTCCTCCAGATGATGTAGGGGGTGTCATACTTGGCGCGGAGCCGCGGGCAGCGTTTGAAGACGAAGTCGATGACGAAGAACTTGATACCGGCGTAGAGCCCTGGGGGGGGGCCAGGTCAGTGGGTGCGCTGTCAGGGCCCGGGACCCCCACCACCTCCTGGAGCCCCTCGAGCCTGGGCGGAACGGGGGGCCGGACCCGGGGTGGGAGGGAGGGTTCCTGCACGAAGCCGCGAGGGAGACGGGGGGACCGAGACCCCCAGGAGGGACCCTGGGCCCGCGCTTACCCACGACCAGCCCCACCAGGCGGCAGGGGAAGAAGCAGGAGGTGAGGAAGGCGGCCCAGAGCGCGATGTACAGCTTCTGCGTCACCTCGGGCTGCACCCACATGAACAGGCTGCGGGGGAGGCGGGAGGGGCTCAGCGGGGGGTCAGTGGGGACGGGCAGCCCCTGGGCCCGCCCGCCGGCAGGGCGCTGTCCACTCACTTCTTGATCTTCTCCAGGATGTCGGCCATCTTGCCGAAGAGGTTCTGCGGGGAGCGGGGGGCCGGGGGAGGCAGCAGTGAGGACCCGGGGTCACGGCTTGGGGGGTCCCGCGGTCTGTGGGCCAGTCTGAGGCGCCCGTGCCGGGCGGGCAGGGTCCTTCCCTGGCCAGGCTCAGCGGCCTCCGGCAAGGGGGGCACCCCGAGCCCCCCCATGGTACCTGGGCTTTCTGGGCCACGTCCAGGACCAGCTGGAACTTCTCGGACACGGTCAGGTCCTCCTTCGGCGGCTCCTGCAGGCGGGAGGGAGGGTCCCTGGTGATGCAGCGGCCCCACGGGCACCCTGGAGCCCACCCCACCGCCCACGGGCCCCGTGACGAGCAGGGAAACTGAGGCGGGCGGGTGCTGGGCACGCTTGAGCACCGAGCCGGGGTTAAGGTGGGGGGGCGTCCCAGGACCCCAGACTCACCACGGCCTCCGTGACCTCGGGCACAATACTCCACCGGATCCGCCAGCCCCTGTGGAAGGACACACTCAGCCCCGCACACCCAGGCACTGCCCAGAGGGGAGGGGGCACATCTCCCGGGACCCCGCGGGCAGAGAGACCCGGGCTGTGGCTTCGGGTCTGTGTTCACATGGGTATGAGGGGGGGCCCTGTGCTTCATCCCAGCAGCCCCCCAAGTCCAAGGGTGCCGAGTCAGGCTCGAGGGCACAAAGCCACAGGGACCAAGACTCCCTGTTCCTGGAGCCTCAACGGCCCGAAGGGTGCAGGGCTGGGGGCGCAGCCCAGTGGGCAGAGCAGGGGAGGCCTGTCCTGCACAGCGGCGGCCCTCGGGGACGCGCAGCCGTGTCTGACCCCGTGGGTCCCCGGGGGTGGTGGGGGGCAGGGCCCTGTGGCCGCCTACCTGGCGATGAGGTAGTTGAGGGACAGCCTCAGGATGGCCAGGAAGAGGAACATGGGCACGGCCCAGCCGTGCCACACGGCGTTCATGTACACCTGCGGGCAGGGCCGTGTGAGTAGCGCGGGCGGCTGGACCCCGCTGGGCTTGGGGCACCCACAGCCAGGAGGGGGCATGGGCAGGTGCTCGGGGCTGGGCGCCCATCACCCATGGGCACACTGCACACCCGGGGAACCCCACGGCGATCCCGGACAGCGGGCACAGAGGGCGGCCCCAGGAGGGCAGGGGAGGGGAGGGGGGCGGTCCCGGGGCCACTCACAGCGAAGGCGATGGCGGACGTGTAGACCGAGTACCAGTCGGACAGCGCCGTCAGGTTCCTCACGAAGCTCGTCACGGGCTTGGCCCCGCGCTCTGGGGACGCAACAGACCTGGTGGGCGACGCTCCCGGGCCCTCGAGGGTCCAGGGAGCTGCGGCCGTGGTGGGGGGGCGTCCCCCGGGGGCTGCCCAAATGGCCCAGGCCCTACAGCCATGCCCAGAGCTGCCCGGGGGGTCCTGTGGACTCAAGGGTGGGAGGCCGGGGGCTGAAAGCCAGCCCCACCCAGGGCCCGTGTCCCCGAGTGGACCCCTGGCCGGGTGGCGCTGAGCCCTGTCCGTCCATCGGTCCGTCCGTCCATCCGTCCGTCCGTCCATCCGTCTGCCCTTCCGGCCCAGCTACTCACTCAGTCGACGCATGTTCTCCGTTAACCTGCGGGGCGGGAGGGGCACAGCACTGAGCACCCAGCCAGCAGGACGCCGCAGCCCCGGGGACGGCAGCGGGGAGGGCGGAGTGCGGGCGGGCCCCGGGCCGGGCCCTACCTGCGGGCGCTCAGGGGCTCCTCGGCTTCCACGGGGGTCTCCTCGGGCTGGAAGCGGAAGTCCTCCAGGTACTCGCCGAAGCGCTCCTGCAGCCACTTCTGCACCCGCGCGTACAGACCCTGGTTCCGGCGCTCTGGGGTGGGGGGTAGGGGTGGGGTCACGCCATGAGCCGGGGGGTGGGGGGGCCAGCGGCGGGCACCCGGGCCAGACCCCCGGACACAGGCCTTATGCACCCCACACGAGGAGGGACACGCCACAGAGCGCACACCGGGTGTGTGTGTATGCAGGTGTGTGTGTGTGTGTGTGTGCGTGTGCAGATGTGTGTGTGTGTGTGCAGTTGTGTGAAAAGGTGTGCGGGTGTGTGTGCACAGGTAAGTGCACACAGACGTGTGAATGTGAGCGAGTGTTTGCAGGTATGTGTGTGTGCAGGTGTGTAGCACGTACTCTCGTGTGTTTGCGGGCATCTAAGGGTGTGTTGGTATGTGTGCTGGTGTAAGAGTGCGCAGGTGTGTGGGGCTGGATCGATAGCACAGCGGGCAGGGCGTTTGCCTTGCACGCGACCGACCCGGGTTCGATTCCCAGCGTCCCATAGGGTCCCCCAAGCACCACCAGGGGTCATTCCTGAGTGCAGAGCCAACAGGAACCCCTGAGCATCGCCGGGTGTGACCCAAAAAGAAAAAAGAAAAGAGCGCATAGGTGTGTAGGTGTGTCCCAGTGGGGAAGTGTGCAGGCATGCCAGCGTATGCAGATGTGTCTGTGTGCTGGTGCGAGCGTGTGCAGGCGTGTCAGGCGCGGGCGTAAGTGTGTGCGGACGTGAGCAGGTGTGTGCGTGTGAGCGGGTGTGGGCATGTCAGGCTCTCTGCACCCCGCTGTCCCTGCCCCGGGCCCCAGCATGTCGGGGTCCCGATGGGCCCGTCCCCAGATACTGCTGACTCTGGAGGGGCAGTGAGTTGTCCTGGGTGTGTGTCGGGGTCAGGTCAGTGCTGGGCAGGTGGCCTGGGGGCGCCCGCAGGACACAGGGCAGGGATCTAGAATGGACGTGGGGTGCCCCCCCCAGACTCAGGGCCCGCCGCGCCTGCAGGGGGCGCTGTGCCCCCACAGTGAAAGGTGGGAGGCTTGGGGGGGGGCTGCCAAGAGCTGGGAGACGAGCCTGGCACAGACACCCAGAAGCACAGACAGGCCTGCGCCGCGGCCCGCTCTCGACCATCAGAACGCCTGGGGACGCCGGACAGGAATGGGCAGAGGAGGGGAGGAGACGCGGCTCTGGCCAGGCTGTGCGAGAGGCCCTCAGTGGGCGGGAGAGGACAGAGGGGCAGCGGGTCTGTGCCCGGCCCACCCCACCTCTGGGTGCCTCCCGCAGCCGCCTGGGTCACTCGGGTGCTTCCGGCTTGCGGCCACGGTCACCTGCACCCGCTTGGCAGGAAGCAGAGCCACCACCGCCACCGCCAAGACGGGACCAGCTCCCAACACCGGGCGGGGCAGCGCCCACAGCCCATCCTGGCGCCCACGGCCCACCCCAAGCCCCCCCCCCCAGGACGGCCCCAAGCAGCGGCCAGGCCCACCTGCTCCGTTACCGGCCGGCGCGGGTCCCTTCGGGGGCGGCTGGGTGGGCTGCTCCTCGGTTCTGCAGGAGAGGGGGGACAGTGACAGTGAGTGCCCCCGTGGCCGGTCACTGCGACACCCAGCAGCCTGGACAGTGCGACCCAAGCGGGTCCCCCCAACCCAAGGCCGCCTGAGCCCCCGCCCCGCCCCCCGCCCGCCGGCCCCTCACCTGCCCTTCAGCACCTCCTGCACCCGCTGCTCCAGCTCCGCCCGCCGCTGCCGCTCCCGCTCCAGCTCCTGCCGCAGCGTCTCCGCGTTGGTCTCTTCCCGCAGCTTCCGCAGCTCCTCCTCTGCGGACAGCCCGGTGAGCCGCGGCCGCGCGTGTCCACCTCCACCTCCGCCCACCCCGCCCTGGGCACGGGGCCCGGTGAGCCGCGTCCGTCCTGAGTGGCCACTCTCAGGGTCTGCCTTCCTGGGGCTGGGACACCCTCACCCGCTTCTCTCCCGTCCTCCCTGTTCGCTGCCACCCGCAGGAGGACACGGTGGGGGTGAAGACGGGGGCTGGAGCCCTAGCACAGCAGGGAGGGCGTTGGCTTTGCACGCGGCCGACCCAGGTTCGATTCCCAGCATCCCACAGGGTCCCCTGAGCACCGGCAGGGCAGGAGTCAGCCTCGAGCATCGCTGGGTGTGACCCAAAAAGCAAAAGCAAAAAAAAAAACAAAAAAGAGGTGATGGACACTGGTGGTCAGGGGCTGGTGGGCAGCGGGCAGGCGCTCAGGCACAGCCTGTACTTCGGGGCCAGCCTGGCACGGGGGCCGGGGTTGCGGGCAGCACCAGAAATCAGGCCAGGCCGCCGGTGTCTCCGCGCCAAAGGCTGACTTCCAGGAAGGCCGCTGGCCGCTGTCCAGAGGGCCAGCTGGGCCTGACGCGGCGGTCTTGGCCTTCCCGCTGCTCCTCCCGCTCGCGCTCACCGGGGTAGGGGATGGGCCGGCTGCGCCCACGGCTCCGAGTGAAAGGCCCGGCCAGCGCGACCCTCATGCCCGCCCGAGCCATGGGCTGAGGCTCGGGGGTGTCGGGGCAGGAGGCCAGCACGGCCCACGGCTGCTCGACCCGCGTCCCTCCCCCGCCCCCCACGTTCCCCCACCCCCACCCGTGAAAGCCGAGGCCTGGCTGCGTCTCCCGGGACTGCCTGCCCGACCGCGCTCCTGTCCACGCCGGCCGAGTCACCCTCGGCCATGCCCAGAGGGGGGCTAGAGCACAGCTGCCCACCCGCCACAAAACAAAGGGGCTGAAGGTTGGAGGGAGTGTGGGAGGGACGGCATCTGCCCTGAGGGCACAGACCCCAGCTCAATCCCCCTCAATGCTGGGATCATGAACCAGGAGGACGCCTGAGTGCAGAGTCAGGAGGGACCCCGAGCACAGAGCCAGGAGTCAGTCCTGAGCACAGAGCCAGGAGACAGCCCCGAGCACAGAGCCGGGAGTGAGTCCTGAGCACAGAGCCGGGAGTCAGCCCCGAGCATAGAGCTGGGAGTGAGCCCCGAGCACAGAGCCAGGAGTCAGCCCCAAAGTAAACAGGTAAGAAAGACGCGAGGAAGCCGCCCCCAACCCCATCCTTTTGCATAGCGGGACTCCAGAGGCTCCCGGCCGACCCCGGCCCTGACCCGACTGGGTCTCTCTGTCCCGCGGGACACTTCCCGGGTGGTCTGCCCCTGGCAGGCAGCGTGATGGGGGGTCTCGGGACCTCCAGGCAAAGGGCAGAGCTCTCGGGCTTGTCCGTCTGTCTGCACCTGCCAGGGACCCCCAGGACCTCCCTGCTGTCCTGTGCGCCCCATCCCAGGCCCAGTGGCTCTTGGGGAGGGCCTGGCTGCTGGCCACCCAGGAAGGAGGCTGGTGGGGGACGGGGAGGCGGGGGGCGGGGAACGTCGAAGCTTCTCATTTATTCATGTGCCTGAGCGTTCGTGCCTCCCGCCCCGGCCAGCGCGCCAGCAGGGAGTGGCCGCCCGGCCGGGCCCCAGAGCCGCAGCCAGGGCCGCTGAGGGAGCTCCCACTGCAGCCCACGGCAGTGGCCAGGCGGAGGGGAAGTGACCCTCACCCCCACCTGCCAAGGGGGAACTCTGAAAGGCGGCTGCCCCCGCACGGCTGTCCTGTCCCCACTACCAGCTGGACACGTGTGCAGGGTGAAGACCCTGCTGAGTGCCCAGGGACAAGGGGCCCCGAGAGACGGCAGGGTACCCCGCTGGGCCAGGGGCCGCAGAGGCTGTTCCGCGTGGCCCTGGGCGGGTGGCTCACTTTCAGGACAGGACACCGAGGGGGACGTTCACAGGGACCAGAGACTCACGGAGGCCGCAGGGGGGTCGGGGGGAAGGGGTGGCGATCCATCGGGTTCGCTGGGGTCACAGCAGTCCGAGTGCCCCCAGGCAGGCCTGCCCAGAGGGCTCTGCCTTTGTTCAAGTGACCAGCGGACAGGCACCCCCACCGACATCCCTCCCGCGGGGAGGCAAAGGGGACCCGAGGTGTCAAGGCCGATTCCGGGCTCGCCGGCCCCGCCCCAGAACAGACACGGCTTCGTCCTCACGCAGACCCCACCCAGCGCGGCCGGAGCCCCTGACTCACGCAGAAAGTGTTTCTCCAACAGGGCGATTTCCAGGTGGCCTTTGAGCTCGTTGAGCCGGTCCGACTCTGTCCGGTGAAAGTCCTGGACGCCGGTGGCCATCGTCAGGGTCCCCGGCCCCGCCTGCGGGGAGCAGGAGCAGGTACTGAGCACCCAGAGGCAGGGAGCAGGTCCCGGGGTGGGGGGGCCAGGACGGGAGCCACTGAGGCAGGCTGGAGTCTCCCTGTGTCGGGGAAGGGGCTGGACCCTCGACAGACAAGAAGTGTGCCGGGGGGGGGGGGGGGGGGTACAGTTGCCCCCTGCAGGGCTCCCGTCTCGCACAGGCACACGTCCAAGTTCACATTTGTGTCCACACACACCCCACTCACATGCACTCTTATTTACTCATGTGTGTGTACGTGTGCACTTGTTCCTTCACTCGCGTGTGTCCACACACACATGCACACACTCACACGGGTACACAGTGCTCAGACACGCCTACGTACGCAGTCCATACGTGCATAGCCCACCTTACGCTCTCATGCCCCTCACATATGTACGCACGCTAACAGCTGGGCACAGGGCCGGAGAGACAGCACAGTGGGGAGGGCGTTTGCCTGGCAACACAGTCAACCTGGGTGCAATGCCCGGCACCCCATGGGGTCCCCCGAGCCCGCCAGGAGTCAGCCCTGAGCACCACCGGGTGCACCTCCAAATAAACAACCAACAAAAACCAAACAACAAGCGGCTGGAGTGATAGCACAGCGGGGAGGGAGTTTGCCTTGCACACAGCCAACCCGGGTTCGATTCCCAGCATCCCAGAGGGTCCCCTGAGCACCGCCAGGAGTGATTCCTGAGTGCAGAGCCAGGAGGAACCCCTGAGCATCACCGGGTGGGACCCAAAAAGAAAAAAAAAAACAACCAACAAGCAGGTGTGCACATTAGCACCTTTGCAATCACGCACAAACTCACAACACCATACGTGGTTATCATGTGCACACGCGTGCAGGCGCCCACAGAACCGATCAGTCAGACCGTCACCCACACACGCTCACGTGTAAACACAGGCATGCACATCCCCTCACGTGCTGACACAGGGGTCACGCTAATTCACACACGCTCACACTCGGAGCACACAGGCTCACACGCATGCACTCACACACATGTATGTGCACACACATGCACACAGCTCAGAGGCACGTGCTGGGGCTCCCGTCCGTGGCTGCCTTAGCTGTGGGGTCGAAGAGCCACTCAGAGCCGCAGCCCCCCTGAGTGGACGCGCCCAGGGCACCGGGCTGCTGGGCTCTGGGCCCACATGGGGATGGGGGTGGAGGTGGGGCACCAGGGCTCACAGCGGGCCGTGCTCGCGTGTGGCTGTCGCCCGGCCTCAGCAGAGCCTTTATCTGCTGGGAACAGAGAGCCCAGGGCTGCCCCGGGCACCAGCCTGGCTCGCCAGGGCCGACAAGCAGCCGGTGTGGGCCGGGCCAGCCCCAGCGTTGCAGACACACCCTGGCGTGGGCGGGCGGCCAGCAGCTTCCAGACAGTGCCCGCTTGGTGCCCGAGCCGGGGTCTGCCAGGGCACAGCCAGTCCAGCCTCCGCCCGGCAGCGCCCTCTCTGAGGTGGTCAGGGGCTGGGCGCCAGCCGGCGGGGTGGGGCAGGGGTCACCACCCGGCTCATCTCCGCCAGCCAAGACCCCCCACCCCCCTGCAGGGCGCTCCTGCGTCGCGGGTGCACTTACGGGGTCCCTGAACTCGTCGCCGTCCCGGGGCGCGGTCCGCGGGGCCTTCAGGGGCACCTCGTCCCCGCATTCGGTGTCCGAGGCATTGGGGGACTCGGCCAGGTCCAGGAAGTCGTCTCTCTTGTGACCTCTGAACCTGATCTTGTCCAGTCTCCTTAGCATGTTCAGCACCGGCGCCCGCTGCTTCACCTTAGCATGACGGTCGGGGTCCCTGCGGGAGACAGGGGTCACTGCTCAGCCCTGCCCACTCACTGCCCAGCGCCGGCCCCGCCCACTGCCCCGCCCACTTGGTCAGCCCCAGCCCCGCCCCCTGCTCTGCCTGGCCCCGCCCCTGCCCAGCGCCGGCCCCGCCCACTTGTTCAGCACCAGTCCCGCCCACTCACCAGTGCCAGCCCTGCCCCGGCCCCACCCACTGCTCAGCCATGCTCCACCCCCTGCCCAGCGCCGGCCCCGCCCACTTGTTCAGCACCAATCCCAACTCACCAGTGCCAGCCCTGCCCCGGCCCCACCCACTGCGCAGCCATGCCCCGCCCCCTGCGAGCACCAGCCCCGCCCACTTGTTCAGCACCTATCCCAACTCACCAGTGCCAGCCCTGCCCTGGCCCCACCCACTGCTCAGCCATACCCCGCCCCCTGCCCAGCGCCGGCCCCGCCCACTTGTTCAGCACCAATCCCAACTCACCAGTGCCAGCCCTGCCCTGGCCCCACCCACTGCTGAGCCCCGACCCCTGCCCAGCGCCGGCCCCGCCCACTTGTTCAGCACCAATCCCAACTCACCAGTGCCAGCCCTGCCCTGGCCCCACCCACTGCTGAGCCCCACCCCTGCCCAGCGCCGGCCCCGCCCACTTGTTCAGCACCAATCCCAACTCACCAGTGCCAGCCCTGCCCTGGCCCCACCCACTGCTGAGCCCCGCCCCCCGCCCAGCACCGGCCCCGCCCACTTGTTCAGCACCAATCCCAACTCACCAGTGCCAGCCCTGCCCCGGCCCCACCCACTGCGCAGCCATGCCCCGCCCCCTGCGAGCACCAGCCCCGCCCACTTGTTCAGCACCTATCCCAACTCACCAGTGCCAGCCCTGCCCTGGCCCCACCCACTGCTCAGCCATACCCCGCCCCCTGCCCAGCGCCGGCCCCGCCCACTTGTTCAGCACCAATCCCAACTCACCAGTGCCAGCCCTGCCCTGGCCCCACCCACTGCTGAGCCCCGACCCCTGCCCAGCGCCGGCCCCGCCCACTTGTTCAGCACCAATCCCAACTCACCAGTGCCAGCCCTGCCCTGGCCCCACCCACTGCTGAGCCCCACCCCCTGCCCAGCGCCGGCCCCGCCCACTTGTTCAGCACCAATCCCAACTCACCAGTGCCAGCCCTGCCCTGGCCCCACCCACTGCTGAGCCCCGACCCCTGCCCAGCGCCGGCCCCGCCCACTTGTTCAGCACCAATCCCAACTCACCAGTGCCAGCCCTGCCCTGGCCCCACCCACTGCTGAGCCCCGCCCCCTGCCCAGCGCCGGCCCCGCCCACTTGTTCAGCACCAATCCCAACTCACCAGTGCCAGCCCTGCCCTGGCCCCACCCACTGCTGAGCCCCGCCCCCCGCCCAGCGCCGGCCCCGCCCACTTGTTCAGCACCAATCCCAACTCACCAGTGCCAGCCCTGCCCTGGCCCCACCCACTGCTGAGCCCCGCCCCCTGCCCAGCACCGGCCCCGCCCACTTGTTCAGCACCAATCCCAACTCACCAGTGCCAGCCCTGCCCTGGCCCCACCCACTGCTGAGCCCCGCCCCCCGCCCAGCACCGGCCCCGTCCACTTGTTCAGCACCAATCCCAACTCACCAGTGCCAGCCCTGCCCCGGCCCCACCCACTGCGCAGCCCCGCCCACTTGTTCAGCACCAGTCCCGCCCACTACCAGTGCCAGCCCTGCCCCGCCCACTGTTGTGCTGGCCCCACTCAGCCCCACCCACTCCTCAGCGCCAGCCCCGCCCACTCATTGGCCCCACCACTGCTCGGTACCAGCCCGCTTCCCAGCCCCCCGCCCCCCCACGCCACAGTGGGCAGCCTCCACTCTGGTCCACAGGATGGCCAGGGCCCAGGGGAGCAGGGGGTTGCGGGCTCACCCCACTATACAGGGTGAACCCGCCTCACACTTGCCAGGAACCACCACAGAGACCCCCCCCCACAACAATCCTCTCCCCCAACTCCCACCAACCTGGGCTCCAGGCTGGGGGCAGGAGTGGGGAGGGGCCCAGAGGGGCCACAGCAGAGGGAACTGAGACCCTGAATGTGGGGCCAAGGGGCACGGCCTGAGTCTCTGCAGGGCCCGGGAGGCCGGTAAACACAGAACAGACCAGCAACACAGACAAATGCACGCACACACACACACACACACGCACACACGCACACACGTGTGGGAAGGAACTGGCCTCGGGGCTGTCCACAGCTGGGGGCACTGCAGAGACCAAGGCTCAGGAGCAGGGGGTCAGGGAGGGCACTTGTACCCATCCCCGGAGCCTGGCAGAGCAGACAAGGGTCCGACAGCCCAGGATGGCGGGGGCTGCAGGGGTGCAGGACCTGGGGCGGGACGGTCAGCCCAACCTGGGCCACGCTCAGGAAGATCTGGGGAGAGGCCCAGAGCCCAGAGCAGCCGGGGATGTGGGGGGGGGGTGCCCAGCCCTCGCCAACGCTGGGCACACTGGCAGAGGCAGCGGGGAGCTGGGGCCCTGGTGCCCAGATGCCACGGCGAGGGCAGCCGGCCGTGCCAAGGTCTCAGCTGGGGGGCTTCTCGACCGGACGGGTCAGTCCCGCCCGCCTTCTGTCCTTCCTGAGTGGCTCCCGCAAGCAGAGGAGACGCGTCAGGGGACGAGGCCCAGGCCGGCCCTGCCCTCTCCGAAAGCCACGCAGGGCCTCCCATTGCCCACCCACCACCCCACCCCGGCACACCGCCCCTGCCTGCATGAGGGGCCCACCCCGCCCCCAACATGTGACCCCCACCGGGATGGCAGGCAGGAACCCGAGGCCACAGCACCCCGCCCCCTGCCGAGTGACCCCCAGGCCAAGGCTCGGCTCCAGCAGCTGAGGAAGACCCCACTCCCCAGGGTGGTCCCACTCGGACCCGGGGCACTTCAGCGTGAACCTCACAGGCCTCCACAGGGACACCAGGAGAGGGGCCTCGGCAGGGACCCCCACACAGGCCGCCCTGGAAGCCGGCCCAGGGTGGACAAAGGCGTCAGTGTTTGGGGAAGGCTGGACCTGGGACCCGGCCCGCGGTGGGGGGAGGGGATTGGTCCCTCCTCTGGGGCCCCGTCCCAGCCCACGAGCCCCTGCCCACCCCCCATACCTACTTGGCCGGTGGCTCGTCCCGGGAATCCGCGCCTGGTTCCCACAGGAAGTGGCTCTGGGCCCAGCCCGCACAGGGACTCCCCGAGGCTGAGTAAGCACGGAGCCCCTGCCCCCACCCCCCGCTGGTCGCGGCTGACCGCCTGGCCCGCTGCCAACTCTCCGGCCTCAGGACAGCCCCAAAACCAAGGCGGGAGCGGCTGGATCGTGATCTGAGGACCCCCAGCGCCCCGGGAGTCCTTCCAGGCCTGGCCCGGTCATCAGGCGGGGGCTGGGGACCAGGGAGAGCATCCCCAGGGCCGGGGTCTCGCTGACCCCTGAGCCACTGCTGGGCCTTCCTGCCCTGAGCAGCCGCCTGGCCGAGAGAGCGGGGAGCCAGCGCCCCTCTATGACGGGGGCGCTCACGGCCTCTTGCCCGAGAAACGTCGCCGGGTGAGAGTGGCCAGGGCGTCTCGGGGGAGGGTCAGGGACTGGCCTTTGGCCCCGGTGCCTTCATGAACATTCCCTCTTGCCCAACGCTTCTGCGGCGCTGACCCAGGTGGGGGGAGCCCCTCAGTTTAGAGGTGAGCAGGGAGAGGGCAGCTGGCAGGGGTCCATGGACACCCTGGGCAGCGTCGGACGTGGCCAGCCCGGCCACTCAGCCCGTGGGGACAGGGGCAGGACTGCAGGAAGCGCAAGGGGCTGAGAGCTGCCTGTGTGTGTGGGGGGGGGGGGGGCGGTTGGAGGCAGGAGCAGACCCCGGCATTTGCGCAGGGAGGAACAAGGTGGGGCTCAGACCCGGGCGGGGTGGGGTGCCCAGGCCCGCACCCTCGCACCCCAGCTTCATGCCACCTCCCACAGGCCGGGGCACCCCCACCCTCCTGTGAAGACGGGCACCCGGTTGCGGCCTGGGCACAGGACAGGCCTGAGCAGGACGGCCGTGACGGGGGCCCAGTGAGGCGGCACAAACCCCCAAACCTGTGTGAGCCCCCACACGAGCCTCCCGTGCTAGCCACGCGTGTGAGGGGTGGGGGGCGGTCCTGGCAGACCACTGACGGATGGGGAAACTGAGGCTGGGAGAAAGAGGAGCCCCCTGGACGGGCCCCACCCCCCACTTCCCGCCCTGTGCCTGCATCGCTGTGCACGCGACCGAGCATCCTGGGGCCAGGCGCTGGGGGCTGCGGCCGGCCGGGAAGGCGGCGCCCCTTCCTCCCGCGGGCGGAAACGGCGCTCCACCCCGCCTGGCCGCAGCCGCACGGGACTGCGGAGACGCATCTTCAATTCCGGCTTCGTCTTCACTTCCTGCAGGGCCCGGCCCGAGTTCCCGGGCACGCGCGCGCGCACATACACACACACGCACACACACGCACACATGTGCCACATACACGCACATACACACACACATGCACTCACACACACATGCACTCACACACAGCACACACATGCATGCAAACACACACACACACACACGGGGCAGTGGCTGCTGGACAGAGGTGCTCCCGGCGGGCCTGGCCACAGACCACGTGCCCCGGTCAACCGGGGTGAGGGTGGGCTGAGTGGACAGGAGCCCCCTGGCACCTCTCAGGAAGCCGGCAGGCGTGGCACCCGGGGACCCTCCATACGGGCCCGGGGCCACAGGCCAGGGTGCAGGTCGGCCCTTCTGTGCAGCAGCCCTATGGGCCTTGGGTCGTGCCCCTGACCACAGTGACCAGACACCAGCCTGGAGGGAGGAACTCAGGCAAGAGCCCCAGCCCACGTCTGTTTGTCTGTCTGTCTGTCTTCCAGGCGTTGCATCCCCCATGCCCGACCCCAGGCCCAGGCTCTGGGGCAGTCAGCATCCACCGCAGCCAGCCAGCGGCCCCCCCCAAGCCCCTTCTCCCGGCAACGCTGACGGCGGCCAC